ATTATAATATTCATAACTGATAAATGTAAATAGGCGCTAGAGCATAAGAACATTGTCAATACACTAGCTTAGAATAGCTCTCCTTACAATTAGTAAACAATAACTGAACCCTGTATATTTATCCACAAATATTATCACCTTAATTTATTTTAAATGCTTTTTTCACGAATGAGAGCAAAACCACAATGTGTTAAATTACCTTCGAAAAGCTGTTATCATAAATAGAATTCACTATAGATAGATTTCGGTCATGATCTTCTTCAAGTGCATAAATACAGAATAAAAGAATGAACTTTATACGAAAAAACTCCAGAGAACAGACAAACGGGTAACCGACAACCAACGGACACACCCAGAAGAACACCGCCCAGAAAAATAACGAACCAAAACGATGGCACAAGAACAGAGAAAAACAAGAAAATATTATGGCTTATCACAATCATGAAAAAGCTATTTCGAGATACACTGGGGATTGTATGTAATACTTCTGTTTATAAGGCTGACAGGTTAAATGGGGAAGTCAAATTCGGACTTTACCCACCAGAAGTCAGAGATCCAGGACTATCAGAGAACACATGTGTGACTAGGTTAATTAACTTAATTAAGGAAATGTTAAATGTGAAGTCTTCCTAAAAATTACTATATACACTATATTTGAAAAGTTATAATAGCAAGTAATCAAACGAGACAGATTTATTAACTGTTTATACAGGCTTCAAGTATGCGGGGTAATTCGGAACTCTACTACCAGAACAGTCAGAGGTATTAAAAAGATATCGGAACATGAATGTAGTAGGATTTATTTAATGCAATAGTATATTGTCGCAAGATCATTCGCTACAATTCTCACTCTCAATTGAAAAAACAAATTTTCGAATAAAACTGAGACTGTTATAAACACTAGTTTATAAGCGTAGATATGGCGGGTCAAAAATTAACGGAACTTTACACCAGAAACGTAAGAAACGATATCAAAGAATCTCCCGGAATAACATGCTGTAAGTAAGAGTTATCATAAATGATGTTTTTGTGAAGTTTCCTAAAATTTCTATTGCACACTCTATGAAAAAAGTATAATTCGACGTACAAGAAGCACGTATATACCGTTTATAAGGCTTCAGTATGGGGGTCAAATTCGGAACTTTACCCCAGAAAGTCACAGATTCAAAAGACCTCCGGAAACATGTGTAGTAGGTTATTTAATGATGTTTTGTGAAGTTTCCTCAAATTCTATTCACATTTGAAAAAGTTATTCGAGTACAACGAGACGTTTTTACCTGTTTATAAGGCTTCAGTATGGGGGTCAAATTCGGAACTTTACCCCAGAAAGTCAGAGATTCAAAAGATCTCCGGAAACATGTGTAGTAGGTTATTTAATGATGTTTTGTGAAGTTTCCTCAAATTCTATTCACATTTGAAAAAGTTATTCGAGTACAACTGGATGTTTTTACCTGTTTATAAGGCTTCAGTATGGGGGTCAAATTCGGAACTTTACCCCCAGAAAGTCACAGATTCAAAAGACCTCCGGAAACATGTGTAGTAGGTTATTTAATGATGTTTTGTGAAGTTTCTTCAAATTCTATCCACATCTGAAAAAGTTATTCGAGTACAAATACGCGAGTTTTTGGTAGTTTTTCCAGTCGAATCTGTGCTTAGAGTGCTGTGTCGATTTTGATCTGTTTCTCTGAAAATATTGCGGGAAATTGAAAAATATTTGCAGGTGAGCATTGCTTAATAATATACCTATATGTTTTGTTTTGAGTTTTCTTTTATATTGGGTTTTTTCTTTAGAAAAAGAGTTTTTGCTTCGAATGTTTGTCAAGTTTCTCGAATGTCTATTTTTGGGCCTAAGTGTGGTCACTGTCAAAACTAATATGTTTTCTGAAAACGGGGAGACTTTCCTCCGATTTTTTTGCAAATGAAACAAATTTCAATAGTGTTGCTTCATTTTTTTTCAATTGGTTATTGCATTTCAAGCCTAATTTTGCTACACCAAACCAAAACCCTCCGAATGTGTAAACGAGAATGCGAATGTCTAATCGAATGTGTAAACGAATGTCGCATTGTAAATTGCGGACCGCTAGTCGCCTGGTTAAACTGTAGAGTTCACAAGGTTGCCAGTTGCCTCTGGTTTTTTCCTCAGGCAGGTAAAATGGAACCCATGGAGGTTGACTCGGGAGAGTCTCGGCCTGGCCAAATAATCTTATCTTGGGGAAGATCTGCCTCTGGAGAATTAGGCATTGATGATAGCAGCGGAGAAAAGAATATCCGGGTACCAACAGTTGTGACTGCATTTCAAAGGGAACGTGCTCGGGCTCCCGTCATAGATATCGCTTGTGGAAAACAACATACAGTCATTTTGCTGGAAGACGGTCAAGTTTACTCTGCCGGCTCTAATGAATCGAAACAACTAGGTCACGAAAAGCGTGGATCAGAGCCAGGTTCGTGCTCTTGTTTTTGCTGCATATCTTAATCTAGTCAATGCGAGGCAAACTAATTTTGCCTCACATCGAGTTGCATAGTGTAGCCGGTTTACAACGTAATTCTTTTATTTTCTGGCTTTGATAAATGTAACAATGCTAGTCATTTCCCAACCATACACAAACATCAACCTTCATAGAATTTTCTTTCTATGATATTGTCAGATTTTATGCTTATTTTTACTATCTACGAAACTGGTACTTCTTTCAAATTTTAAAAGCTTGATAATGATTGATCAGTAAATTCATGAAAACATTGACTTTTGTATATCTAAATGTGTATTTACAGAAATGCTAATGGCAAGAAAAATTTTTAATTATCTAGGGGCATTCCCTTGTTGCCAGATTTTCTTGTTTTCTAAGAAAACAAATCATCGTTACAGTTATTTCTAAGAAATTTGTCAATTGGTATTCAAAGACTGCCCATGAAATTGAGTATTAGGGGCAGCAGGTTTTCTGTTACTAATTACTCTTCCAGTTTGGATGCAGCCATCATTGCACTTAATTCATTATCACTTTCTCAATTTAAATGATGGGAAGTGAAAAAAGTTTTCTTAATGAGATATTGTGCATAACAAGTCGTTTTAACAAAATGTTTTGCATGCAAACCCTTTTTTAACAGTCTAATGGCATGCAGACCCATCGCCATGATTCAACATCACAATTATCATTAACATCATTATAAAGTTAAAGGAACTACTATAAATTTTGATGGACATAATTTAAATTCTCATTGATTTGATTCTAAACAAAAGGCAATGACAAGGCATGACTACTTCACAATGTTTTCTTGAATTTTTATTTGCTACTAAACCTATTGTCAACCCTGAATTGTCAACTGATGCGACAGGCTTTAAGATAAATTTTATTTATTTTGCTTCTAGAAAAATTAAATATTCTGGAGACCCAAATTATCAAATTGGTTGCCTGTGGAGAAGCATTTACAATTGTTCTGAATGCAGATAATCAACTTTATTCTTTTGGTTCAAATGATAAAGGGCAGTTGGGCTATAGAACACAAGGCAAGAAATTCAGTGAAAGACCAAGGTTTGTGAAACCATTCAACCAGTATTTTCAGAAAGTGGACTTTCAGAATACAGTATACCCTGCTTATCAGTAGAATACAGTTACTCTGCTCAAAGTTACACCGCAGCTTACAGTCACAACTTTAAAAGCAACAACTATAAGCAGGTCCTACTGTATGTGGGGGTCATCAAGGGGGATAGAAATTTGCCATTTCATGCAATTTTCAGTTAGAATCTGTCATTCTGATCACTCCAACAAAAATTCTGTGTCCAAAAATTGTTGATAGATACTGCTTACCAGAAAAACCAAGATTTGGCTAAGTCTCTTTTTTCAAGACAACAAGGGAAGAATTATGCAACTCCATAAAACTTTTATAAAATTTTTGTAATTCATGCATTTTCTTTCGAGAAAACCACATCTGACAAGTGTGGAGAAATCTGTTGTTCTGTTTTGAAATTGTCTGTTATCTGTAATCCATGAAAATTTTCTTAAAATTCCGTTAAGTCTACAATTTATGAAAAGAGGGGTGCAGAGGTTTCATAAAGGGGGTCAACCTCATATAACCTCATAAAGGCGATTTGTTTTTATTGCCCCAGGTTTTCAGGTCCCTATTTCATTCATCTCGTTTTCCACTCAACTATCTCATGCAAAATATTATTCATTGATATTTTCCATTCATTGCAGCAGTTTATTTCATCTGTTTAAAAATCGAGTCCTCTGTTATGAGCTATTTAGGCCCCTGAAATCTCTACAATACGATGTATGAATTATAATGAAGTTTTTTATTTCAGGATCATAAAGGCGCTTAATCCCTCAAAATCATCCAAAATTGTCCAAGTTTCTTGTGGAGGAAGCCATTGTCTGGCTCTATTATCAAGTAATTATAAAGCATGATATTTTCTTCAATAATTATCAGGAACTCTTTCAAAACTTCTCCTTTTCAGTACAAAATATTTTAATAAAGCATTTAGAACAAGATACTAAATGTCAAATGAACACGATACTTAAATGTGAGGTGTGAGGATGGCCCAGTGGTTAGGGTCGTTGACTACAGGTCCAAGCTCTAGGATTCGAGTCCCCGACATGACCAAACTTGCACTAAGGATAAGGGGAGCTGTAAGCTCCATACAGTTCTAGCGCAGGAATCGCGAAGGGTGGTCACTGCTGTCTATAAGCAAAACTTTCCAGTGCCCTACAATCTACCAAGTGATTACTGTTTAAAATTGAGAAAAGTACTGTTTTTTAAACATTCTTTTTTATAGAAATAATAGGAGGAACATTGATAGTAAAACACCTTAGTTCAACACCGTAACTTTGTCAGCTGGAATACTTTACCAAGGTCGTTTACAAACATTTGTTGCTTAAAGGAGCTGGACTATCAGTATATTTAATGTCTGAATTTACACGTCGAGGAAAATGCTCTTTTCTGGCAAGTCGGTTTGCAGACTCCCGCCCTCAGACTATATGGTCAGTGAAAAGACGCTTTTTGTAGGGCCCATATCCACCCACTACTGCCTGCTGATTTTTTAAACGTTTCGCAACTGGGCTTACAAAGGACAGGACAGTTTGAAGCCGTGCCTTTCACAACAAACAAGATGCGATAATGTTTGGGGATGTTCTCAAGATAAGCTGTATTTAGCGAAGCGTTTGTCGTTGCAAAATTTAATAGCTGATGATGATATATCAAGCGTGTCACATAAGCTTGCTCGATCTTAACCGTGGTTGCCTTAGTATTTGGTGCCATTGCCTCTCTTTTCTGTTGTTGAAACCGAACACGTAATTCTATTACAATAACGTATCCAGATACCGCTTACCTTGTTGCAAATCCAGTAACGAAACGAAATGCAATCATAGTCAATGATGCAATAGAAGTTATGGGGACAATTTCTGCGAATCTGCGAATCTGCGAATAACAGTTTTGCCCATGGAACTACTGAAAGTTCTCTCGAATTTTTAGTGAGAAAGTGTGGAATTTTAGAGGTAGGGAAAGAGTCAGAAGGAGAGTCTTCACTTTCTATGAAACATTATTTTATATTTTTTCAAAATTGTTGAAGTTTTGAATTCATTTTTATCATACATAAGCATGAAAATAACTAGGATTTTTGTTAATTGAACTGTGGCTGATTTTTATGAAAGAAAAAAACCTAAAGAGTGAACCTATTGTGATTGAAATTTCGTTATCGGAGATCTAGTTAAAATATCAAACACACAGAGTGTAAAAAGTAATGGAGGAAGTAACCTGCATACATTGCTTTGTGCATGCTCTTTTGCTTGATGCAACGTAAACGCCAGTACTGAGCATTACTGTAAAGCATTTTGTTCACAGAATAACGTCATTACTGAGCATCCTTTTGTGTGTATTCTTGTCTATTCATGATGTATGACTTTGGAGTGAGTGCTAAAAGAAAGGGGGCTTGAACAAAATTTTTCTCAAAACATACCCCTTTTTAAATGGAAGTTTGTTTGTGAAGGGAGTGCTTAAGGACGACCGTGGAATGTTAAATTCTCGCTGGCTCCTTGTCTTGTCTAGCCTGGATCACAATTTTTCTGCGAATGAAAAAGTTGTTTTTTCGTCGCAGGCTAGGCCAGGCCTTGAGTTGTTGAAAGGTACAAAACGTACAGGAAATAGAACCATTCTACTTTTTGAAAATAAATTGACAAAGCTTAAACTTTAGCCATTTATAACACGATGGCGTAAGAGAATTTAAATCGGATGCTTGAAGAAGAATCACAGTTAATATAGCTTCAAAATGGACAGCCGACCGCTCCAACATGAAATCAAAGAGGTATTGTAATGAATAGCTGAAGCTGTTATTGTTCCGTTTTTAATATATGCATTATTTAACTTTTGCAGATGGAAAGATTTTCTCTTGGGGAAATAATGAAAATGGACAGCTTGGACGTGGAAAGGACTTTTCTTTCACTGAGGTTCCCAAGGAGATAACCGCTCTATCGTCTTTACCAATTTATATGATTGCTGCTGGAGGATCCCATAGCTTTGCATTAACTGTATCCGGAACTTTGTTTGCCTGGGGCAGAAACAAGTTAGTTTGTTCGTAGTCTGCAGTTAGGTCAACTTTCAATTTTTCCTTAGCTACATCTTTTAACTCCATTTTCCCGCTGGTGAAAGTTGTTATTTTCTTCGCTGCTTTTTTGACTATTTCAGAAATTGTCACTATCTAAAGAAAATTTCGTATGATGTCAAACCAGAATTCGCAATATGTTGATAATGTTTTTCTATGATGATGATGATGAAACGCTTTACAACTGAGCAGTGAAAAGCGAAGTTATATAGTTAAAGTGAAACTCTAGTTTTATCCGTGATTCGTAGTGAAAGGGAATTCTATGTAATGTATAAGGATAAATCAATGTATCTGGGGTCTGTGAACCCTTATCCTAGACCGAAGCTTGATCATACTTCATGATAAACACTTTTACTTCGACCCGAAACCAATTTTCAAGAAATCCGATAATTCAGGTAGATCTCGTAAGTGCTTCAAAATCAATTTTTCGTCCTTATACGTGGGAAATATGAAAATCTGTTACTTTGAATTTTGTGATATACAAGGTTTTGGATAATTCATTACAAAGACATGTAATTAGGCTCTCCTCGTATATCTGATTGTTTCATTCAATAAAGCAAAACAACTATGAAGTAAATTTTCCATTGGCTTTTAAAGTACATGTTAAAGTTCAAATTTCACATCCGTTGTCGATCATGAATCTGGGTCTTAGCATAAATGATGACTTTTTCCTATCGGTTTTCATTTGTAGTCCCAAACAAATCAAAGCTATAAAAAGTAATATCAAGCGCATATAAGAGGTATTTTATTTGATCATTTGATTCTCAAACGGGTTTTTTGATCTCGTTTCAAATAGATTTGGTCAGCTTGGGCTTGGAGACGATAAAGGTAAAGATAAACTTTGCTGTCTTTTTATCACTTTACATTAAGAAAAAGATCAATTACATTCTAATAACAAGCTTCGTGTGCAGCAGATCTAGGTCTCAGTAAACATCTAAGGGTAAGCCCAATTAACAAGGTACTTTTTTTGGCATCAGTACTAGCAATTTTTTTGGTTAGGCTTAGAGCTTGCAGGTCTCTAAATTTCGTACCCTGTTCTCTTTTAACGGTCTTTGAATCTTGTACACTCTTAAAAAATTTTTTCATTATCGCTTCAATGCAACAGTCAAATAAAACCGCTTTTTGTAATATCAAACTGTCTGTACCTGGGGAGAGACATTTGTTAGAGCTATATTGATAATTGTTTACATTTGGCTGTTAAATTTGGCATTGGTACTGAAATATTGTATCCAGTTTTTTTATTGAAGAGCTCTGCTGTCTCATGGGATCACTAGATTTGTCTCAAAATATTTGTTTCAAAGTTTTCCGATCCGAGAAAATTGTTTGTTTTGTCTTTTATCTAGTGAAATATTTGCAGTACAGTTTGCTTGTATCGTGAGCAAATGTTCGAATGGAAAGCTTTCATTGGTGGAATTTTCAAAATGGAAACACGTCTCTCCTTTGGCTTTAAGGATTTTACCCTTGCTTTAAAAGCTCACATTGTATACAATGAATATGGTCGACATAATTTATTTTGATGTTAGTATGAGAATTCCTGTGAGAAAGGATAGTTCATCTTTTATTTATTTAAGTAGCGTTGATATATGTGAAGCTCATTAACCCGCCTTCTAATTTTTTTAGCAACATGGTTTAAATGATAGCTTGTAACACACACATATATATATAGAACATTGAAAGACAAATGTATCCCATACTTGATCACAAGTTAATTTTTTAGAAAACATCTTTTCTAAGCCCCTTTCTTATATCAATTCAAATTATATTTTTGTAGCACGTAGTATACCAGAAGAAGTGAAATCACTGCGTTCTAAATTCATCACATATGTTTGCTGTGGTGAGGAGCATACGGTTGTTCTCACAAAGGTATGTTGGTCTCTGTATCTTCATTAACTCCATATAGACTTAAAATCGAAATCAACGCATTGTATAGCATTTTCATTACTTTAGACATTAAATTCGTAAGGAGACGGGCATTTTATTTGCAAAAAGGAAGTTGATTGAAGTGGAAGTTGAGTGGCATTGTCAAGTAATTGAAGAAGCATCTGCAAGAAAACACCGTAAGGAAAGTGCGTAAAAGTTTTGCATGTACTGGCGCACTCCTCTAAAATACGTTGTTTTGCGACTCAGTGAAAGCATTTGTACTAGCGGCAGAGCAAAGCTGCTAAAATTGGAATGGGAATTTAAAGTTTGTATTGATAGCCCATCCCTGGCACCTCCCCCTCCCCCCCCCCCTCCTCGTGAATTCGCGGGCTTGAATGACCGTTGGTTGCAATCAGGCACTGCAAAAGACTTACCAATAAACCATTAGATTTGTCATTATACATTTTATATTTTACTTTCTAAATTTTTAGTTTGGCCGAGTGTTTAGTTTCGGATATGGAGGCAAGGGTCAGTTAGGACATGGGAGCGCACTTAATCACTTCTTACCAAAACAGGTAAGTATTGATTGTTTGTTTCATCCGATTCTGCTTGCCTTGTTTGAGCTCGACGAGGTCTGGAGTGAGACAATTTATTGGAATCAATAATTACAGCAGAAAGCGATGGTAAACTCTAAATGAACGTAAAAGCCTTTGTGTGAATTTTCTTTTTATAATTTCTATTTGTGTTTAACTGTTAAGGAAGTTACATCGAGAGATCAATATAAGCTTTTTTATTGTACATTTTCTTGGTGACAGGTGATAGAACTGTCCGGTGACCAGGTGTCTCAAATTGCTTGCGGAAGGTAATTTATTGTCCTTTTTTATTTTGAATATGTATGTACCTTGTTTGGTTAAAGATAGAAGTAATTACTTTTTTGCACCGCAAAACCTGAAGATTACACGAAATACCGGAAACATAGCATACCAAACATTTTTCGTCCGACACTTTTCAGAGTATGAACGTTGTATAATGACCACAAGTAAACTACGTAAACTAGGAAAATGAAATGCAACACAAGTTTTATCCGCATGATCCTCTGGTGCCTCAAAATTTGAAATAGCGCAGAAAAGCAGCCACCCGCTTCCGACGGCCCTGGAATATACAGTGTATCTAACCAATTTTCGAGCAAAAAGGGTTTTAATCCTAAGCATTCCTCAATACATAATTTAGATATAGTTAATTTTTTTATTTTCCATGATTTTTCGTAGTTGGCACACTTTAGCCGTTGTGGAAGGCAGTGGAAAGGTATACTCATTTGGTATGAACAAATTTGGACAGCTAGGAAATGGAACAATGGAAGAGCAAGCTAATACGCCAACAGTTGTACCTGGAATGTGGACCACGAATCGTAATGAGGAGGCCTACTGTACAGATGTGAATAATTTTGCGGTATACAGTCTGTTTGTGGTATACAGGCTGTTTACTGGAGGGAATCAAAGTTTTGTGATCTTGAAGGAGAAGGTAAGTGTTGAAGTCAAGAAAAATGAAATTTCAGTTAACAAAGATGCCCAGTCCACTATACCTTAGGTCGACTTTTTTGCGTTAGTTGGATTTAGCGTTAATCGACAGGCACGGAATTAGCACAATCTTAATTTAGCGAATGCCAGTTTCATTAGCGAGGGGAACATGGTAGATTCGGAAAATCATAAGCGAATTAAATTTTTCGTAACTTTCATTTAGCAAAAAACTCCTATTTGCCAAATCGCTAAAATAATGCGATGCAGAAAAAGTCGGCCTAGGGTATTATTTATAGTTGACTGGGTATCTTTAATACCTATTATTTCATGTGGTCACATTTGTTTGCACTGCATTATTAAAAGCAATAAGAAAGATTTGACTAATTTTCCAAGAAATAACGAGCTCTGGACTCAAATTATTCGGAGTATTTGCAGCAATGATTTCACAAGCTTTGTTGGTGGTTCTTGCACATATTTTATCCAAGGCCGATTCGAGGCAACTATTTACAAGATCTTAACTTCTCAGTTTAGTTCCGTTTCTAATGTTGTATTTTTTCCATGATTTTCTCAGAACTATTTGTATCATCGATGCTAGAGTTCAAAGTATTTTATATTAGGAAGACTATTGGGGTGGAATAAAATCCTCAGTTCGTTTCTTATGTAAAAAGGTAAATTTTTCATCTTTATTTTTCCCTAAATGCTTTCTGTTTCCCTAAATCATAACCGAGACTTTAGCGTATGTTTACCTTCTTCCCAGGGTGATGCTAGTCCTATTGACCATCGTCAAAGACACCTGATGGAAATGTCAACATTTTTTCTTGACGAAGCAAATATCAACAAACTGATAAGTGACTGTAAGAATGGTTCAAATGAGGAGAAACAAAAGCATACTCTTGACATCATTGGAACAGTTTTCACTTCGCCGTCTTGTCTCAATGGCTCGTTCTTGAACCCGTACGTTTATTTAAACCCGTACTAATGATTCTCCTTCTAGTAGCAAGTACATAGCTGTTCATTTGCTTGCTTGTTCATTCACCAATTCTCCAATCTGATTTGATGTAAAAATGGATAGAGGGCTATTTTCTCTTGTTAAAGTTTGTTTATTTCAATGGCAAAATACGTTTTTGTTGGAGAGGAGGATTTATAATACGCTCATTTAGCGATGTGTAAAGCAAAAAAAGGAAAAAGAGAGATTTTTGCTATTGGCTGACTGTTCTGAGCTCACACTAGATCTCAGAACCTTTACTGCTTAGGGTATCTGTGGCTTCCTTTATTCTTATGATTGCACCAGCAACCTCATAAGAAGCCTAGCCCTAAGATGAAAAACTAAGAAAGCATAATACTGATCCCACTCAACCCCGAGAAGCTGCTCAAAAATCTTTCTTTAGGAGTGGAACTGATTAGTTTCGTCAATCAGACACACATTTCCTTTTCAACTAACAAGGATAAATAGAAAGAAGAGCTCCCTGTGACTTTATGAGTGTTGTCTCATGTTGTATTATTGTGTTGCTAAAAAGTAGCTTTTTTGGTATTTGGTATTTACGAAAGCTTTAAGAAACTTAGCAAAAAATGAAATTAGCAAAAAATTGAAAAGCTGAGTGCCAATCCCGAGCTTAGTTTTGTTTATAAAAAACTAGTGTTTACAGAGATGCAGCTTTTTCTAGGACTGAAATGTTTTGCAGTTATTCTAACGGAGAATGATAAGAATTTTTATTCGAAATAAGCCATTACGAAGCAAGCAAAAGCACCATTAATCAGACGAGCCAAACACATCGAAAACTGGTCATGCGTTTTTATCAAAATTTGGCTTAAGAAGAAGTGGATAGATTCCTTTTGTAGCATGATCGGCTGGATATCTGGTATAACATGGTTTGCTGGGTATCAAGTATTGCTTCTGATTCCTATATTGATCATTAACTCCAGGACCTGGTTTTCAAATATGCTGCTGCCTTTCTGATTTATAAACATTAGGCCAAAAGGTTGATGTCATAAACATTTACTTTAGAATCTTTAGAATTTAAAACTTTTGAAATTTTAAATCGGCTACAAATTGGCCAAGATATACACAGAGCAGCCATTAGCTTTTGTTTGGTTCCGCCTTTGAGGAACATATTGCAAATTATTGTAGTTTCATACAGAGCCTGTGCCCTGTTATCTACAACTCAGCCTATATTGTCCAAATTAAAATGTTTTTCTACATTAAGGAATGCCTTATGCTATAAATTTTCGTGACGTCATTACATTTTCACACTCTATCAGCCTTAAATTTTTTCCAATATGATATTCTCAGGTTTCTAGAAGAGATTTTCCAGTGGCTGATCTAGGATTTTTTGACGTGTGCAAAACTGGGCAACGCTGTAACCAAAATTTTGGAGTGCCACGCCCTTATTACTGCTACCTATATACCACATCTTTAAAACTGATAAACACACTGAGCTGCTTAGCGACATGGAAAATTTCAATTAGTAAATTTCAAAACGGTAGTGTCAGACGAAAATGATAGACACAGATGAAAATTCCATATTAGATATTTATCATTTTATTTCTTAAAATTCAATTATAATCTTTTTACTGCGATGGGAACTAGTTAATCGATAGCTAATATAGCTTCAAAAAAAATTAAATGCTATTTGCTTAAGATGCCTATTACATAAATGTATGATAATGTATACGTTCTTTGTTCATGAAAATGAACCTCTTGCAAAATACGACAGGTGCACGTGCACCCACCGCACCCTGCTGAATATGCAACTAGTTCTTTTTATTTGTGAATGGTTAATGAATTCAATTTTGCTCTTTCATTTCAGGAATACACATGAAGTGACGACTCTGAAAAACCCTGGCTTGGACACAACCAGTACAAATAACGAAGAAACAGATTTTTTTCTCAGAGCGCTAATTTTTAAGTTAAAAGGGAATGAAGCAATAAGGAAAAAGGTTAATATATATTACCGTCTTTTACTGAAACATTTTTATTAAGTTTACTCTAATTATCAGAAAACGTCTCGGCGATTTCAGAAGCTGCAAAAGCTACAGGATGGACGAGCAGGAAGGGGATGTTTTCAACACTGAATGTAATAGCCTGCTTTTACTGAAATTTGTAGGGCTTTCGATTGTATCACTTTTTGCTTTCTCCTGTGTTGCCTATATTCCGTGAATTTTAATGAAATAATGAAAATAATATCATCTCTTAAAAGGAAATAATGAAAGGAATATCATAGTAAATGCCTTATAAATGAGTTAACCATTGAAAATGGAACAACATGAAATTCTCACTTTTAAGTCATCTGTTTAAAATCGTCGGAAAAAACTGCAACTTTTTCATCTTTTAGGTCGACGAATGTGCAATGACACTTCTAGAAACTTTACATAAGCGACCTCCAGATTTAGAGGCATGCCGAGTGTTCCTACTCATTCCAGAAATTTCCCTTTTGGTGCAGCAAGATAAACGAAAGAATTTTGTAACAGAATTTGGTCGCCTACTTTTAGAAATGGAGCAAGATGCACTAAGAATTTTCTGTAATTTCATTCTATTTCTTTTTTCATTTTGAAAATTTTTTAATGGTTTATAATTTCTAAACATATATGTAGCCTTTCCAGAATAACTTTTGCTAACACATTTGTCATTGCTAATCTGCTGAATCTTAAAAAGTTTATGTTAAAGTATCGAGGTAACATTATAGAATATAATAAGCTGAGCTGTTTCCAATTCGAATTCTAGGCAACTGGTGGGCAACGATTCCAGCCTCAATGTTTTCAAGAATTGTTACGGTACGTTAACAAATTTTTCCCTTTAAACCTGAATAAAATGGTAGTTAAATTTCCAAGTGTATGAATGTTATATATAATAAAAATAATAATGATAATAATGATATAGGCATTTTCATAGCACCGTATATCCCTAGGGCTCATAGGCGACTAACAACATAACAACTACACTTACGTTCAAAAAGTATTGGGACGAATTCGATGAACTCGATATTGCTTCGAACGCAATCCGATATTCGAACAACCAACGGTACGTTGGTGTTCATGTTCATGTTTCATGTTGTTCAATGGTCCACGAAAAAAATAGTCCTTTAAATTCTACTAAGCAAAAGTTATCACTCGAACCATTAAACTCTACTCTCAAAACATCACCTGCCTCTACGGGCACACGGCCCTTATTTATGCTACTACTTATCATTACGTCATTGCAAAAAATACCTACCGCGATTACATCATACTTACGATATTACAATCGAACGTTCTCGAACGTTCTATAATTATAAATCGTTAAAGATATATGTATTTTTTTAAAAAAGATATTGGGAAAAGGAGCCACGGATTTATTGACGTAGCCTAGGACACATCACTGCCCCGCTACATTTGTGTCCCTTGCAGAGAGAAAGTTTAGGTAGCAGAATACTTTCTCTTCGACATAACTTGTTGCTCCTGTTGAGGGCACGCTTTCTGCAGTTCTTTCCTGTAGGAATCTTCTGAATAGACCCTGAGTATAGTCGCTGTTGTTTTCCATTTCAACTTTTGTCGGACGCTTAACGTATATACCAAAGCACAGAATAAGGTACATTCATTCAAGTCATATTTCATCTCGACGAGAATATTCAAACAATAGGGTGATGACGCAATGGATTATTCTTCGACAAATTCTTCATCGAAATACAAGGAAGAATATTATAAGAATAAATTCTTGGGCTTAAAATAGTATTATCAAGATAGTATTATTCGTGTAACGGGGCCTTTAATCATACCATGTATTTTTAATTACAAAGCATTTTCAGCGAGAGATAAACAAAGCAAATCCCGATCAAAATAAAAACACACGTAATGTTACTACAATTAGTACTAAAGGTTATATAATTTTCCATCGCGTGTCTTCGTAGCACTCAGTGTCTCCGCCACACTAGCATAAAATTGGGGGAACAGAATTTACATGGAATTATGAAAGAAATTTACTAAATATTGATTACTTATTGATAAGGAAATCAAATTAATAAATACTTTTAAGAGAAACCTCGTTGAAACCACAGCTAAGAGTAATACGACCTAAATAGATATGTCTTTAGTTGTCATACCTACATGCCTATGTTCTATGTTTTATGTCTTTAGTATCATAAGAGAGAAGAAACATCTAAATTTTCTGAAAAAATTTCCGTGCTTATCTTAAACCGAATTATTGGTAGAGTGTAGACTTACTCCGTGTGCCTCTATTTCGCTACAGCCTCACTTTACGGACGCGTCTAGGTGGAGTGCAAAAGCGAAACAGAATGGATGTTTCATTGAAACGCGTGTCATTCTCATCTAATAACATAATTTGCCAGGGGGATGAGCAAGGCTACAGATTATCCCCAATTCGCAAGCATAAAAGATAACTGCATTTCTGTACAGGGATTAAAACACACTCTTATTTTCACAGTCAGTGCACACACCCCTGCTCCCTGTCTCGTTTTTTGGGTCCTATTCAGAATATGAAACGTTTCACGATAAAGAAAATAAGAAAGAGTATGGTTAGACCATATACTCCTCACGGGTGAAAAGTTTTCAACATTGTGTAAGGATACTACTTTAAAGCTATAAAAATGTTAATGGTGGCTTCATTGTCAATTTCTCAGATCTGCACCAATGATAAACAAAGGAGGATTATACTTGCCAAAGTATAAAAATAGCTCTGCAAAAAGCAAACATTTTGAGACAAAGACCCCGTTTACACTGTCCCGGGACAATTTTGTACCGTTACGGTTCGCAAGTGTTTACACTGTCGCGGTTCCAAATTGTTCCGTTTAGCCGTTCCGTTTACACTGTACCGGTACGACCTTAATTTAATGGTAGAACATTGTTTAGAAGAAGCTGTATTTAGTCAACCAAGGCCTTTTTTTGCCGCTGAAGTCAACAATCGAATTTTTATTGTGAGTTAAAATGGAGCGGAAGGCCGATTAAAACTTTACTTGGACGAAAGACAAGGTGGCTTTAATTTTCAGTGTTATTTTAGACTACAAAACTGCCAAGTCCAATCAAGGCTTGGACTGGGAAACACTACAAGCCTTTTCTGTGGTCGTCTTTTCTTCAGAATTCCCTTTTCTTCAGAATTTGAGAACGTAGTTGCGCCACAATCAAAGCCTCGATTACCTGAAACAGCCATACAAAAGACCTCTTTGTGAATCCGTGACAAAATCGTCTCGGATAGGTGTTTACACTGTCCCGTTCAAAAACGGAACCGTGACGGTACAAAATTCGTTCGCTTTCAAAGCAGGGTCAAAACTGTTCCGGATAGCAGAGCAAAATCGTCACGGTTCCACAGTGCTAGTGTAAACGCAAGGGCGAACCGCGACAGTTTTGTCACGGTTCCAAACTTGCACGGGACAGTGTAAACGGGGTCAAAGGCAATTTTTTTTCAAGGCCAATTTTCAATTCTGTACTCCAAAATATCAATTCATTTTCTTCGAAGGTATGCTATTTATCTTCATAACAAAACATTTTTGTTTCACTGATATTTGACAATATATCCGTATTTATCAACAGCTCTTTAAAAGATGTTTGAAAGATGCTATGAAAGACTTTTACAATTTCACGGGCCTCAGCCAAGAGGTAGGTACTATTTACTGTTGTGTCTTCTTCTCATTCACTTGCTCCTTGTTTCGAGTACTGATTAAAGTAAACAACAAAGAAACGCTACTTTGCAATACACTAAGCAGTTTTCTTTAGAAGGTGTTTAGCCAGCATCATTTTTATATTTATTCATAAAATACTCAGCAATGTCATTTTTTTCAGAAATGGAATATTGTCCATATTTCACTTTTCGTTTTGCAAATATTGAACAAGGTAAGACAATTTGTTTTTGTTCAGATAATCTACAGTCGGAAGGGTCATTCTGAATTTTCCCGTTTTCCGTTTATTTTTCGGATTACTAACCAGAAGAGCCTTGCATCTAAGTGGCGAGATGGATCGTAACCTAAAATCTGAAATTTTATCTGCCCTTAACTGTATGTATAGTTTATGTGCAACTCACTGGCTATAATAGACGCCAACTGTGTTACTGTTTTGTGAAATACTGATTTTCGCTGGGCAATTCTGGGAAGTGATCTTTCCCTACCTTGAGAATTTAAAAGATTTTGATAAAATGGCTTTGAAAAAAGCAAAAATTTTACAACATATTAGCTAAAAATATTTTCGTCTGACACTCCTCAGAGCATAAAACGTCAGAATAGAATGAAGGTCCGAAAGAACACGATGAAAAGTATATACCAAGGTATGGATCGAAATAGACCAATCAGTAAAACGCAAGCACAAGACCGGTATAGTTGACCAATCAGTGCTGCGTGCATATAGAAATATTACCACTGGAGTCCAAGAGAGAAAACGAACTCCTTCTGTCTGTTTTCCTTCTTGGACACCTGGGTATATATTTTCCATCGTGTTCTTTCGGACCTTCATTCTGACATTTTATGCTCTGAGGAGTGTCAGGCGAAAAAGCTTTTAGTTAATATGTTGTAAAATGTTTGCTTTTTTTTAAAGCCATTTTTAAGTTCTGTACCGCCAAAAAACTGTTCATATTTTGATAAAAGTAAAGGTTGGCGAATTGCATAAAGTTTGAATTATACCTGGAAGTTTTTGATTAACAGTTTGAATGAAGCAATGATATGCTGTATAAGCTGCTAGTAGGATATTTCTTCAAATGAAGCTGACCTAGGGAAATAGTGGCTTTTCACGAAATATTTCCTGGAGCGTGAACCAGGCTTTTTATAGATATATGAGACCTACCCTGAGTACTGGTAGGTTGAGGTTGTGATAAATTGAGTCTATGGCCGGTAAACAGTTGTAATAAACAGCCCCCATATGGGAGCATCTAGCTCCCCATATGGGAGCATCTAGCTCAACACTGGATACGTATTCTGCATCATTAATAGTGATTCAATTGAATATTGACAAAATTCATATACCAATGCCATCTTATTTCCAAGGTAAACGATGACCACAATTTTTTGATACCGTATGAGGCTTTCTACATACAAACAGTACAAGAAAAGATAGATCTACAAATGGACTACCGTGTTTTCAAGTTTAGGAAGGTAAAGGCATTGTCATTTCTACAAACGAGTTTTGTAGCTTGCTTTTTGCTTGTCATTTTATTTTAATTTAATTTCATTCTAATAGAAGCGATTCCAAATCGAATATCTAAATAAACTACTAACGATGAATGAATTTACAGATTTCGGTTGCTAGCTACAATCACTACAGCTACAAAATGGTCTATCTCATCGCTTTATTAGTCTCTTCAATGTTTGAATCTTTTTGGCTAATTTAGTTTTTTTTGACAAAGCATTCCAAATTTGTGCCTCCAAAAGATCTTTTTAACCTCACTTCGATACACATGATCTTTTTATTGAATCAACCTCGCTAATGACTTAGACGGTTTCAACTACCTTAAGATGACAGCATAGTGAATCAGGGAAAAATTGATAAATTTTAATGACATTTGGGCGTGACTTTGTCAAGATCAGCCACATATCAGAATAGATAAAACTAGCGGTAAAACTTTTAGATGAAATTTGGTGTAGTTTGCCAGTTATGTTACTTCCACTGCCCTTGCAGGTGTGTGGTAACATGTGCAGTCTCTATGCATTATTTAAGGCTTCCTAAGGTCCTGATCTCAGCTAAACTGTAAATAATCCGAATTTCGCTGACTTAAAAGACCAAGTCCCTCTAGTTTTTGCTAAAACGGAAATGCTATGGTAGTCTAAAGAATCTTGACTTGAATTTTTTTCTACCTGTTTTGTGTTAATTTTGAAATAATTTTACAAGAATATCTATCTCTTCCATCATGTGTGAAGTTGCCCATCATGTACGTAGCTGTATAGTATCTTGATAAACACGGTTTTCATAACAAGAATTTCAAAAAGGGGCATGGTTGGCATGATTACCCATTGACTTTAACAAGTGATAATAAAGCTGTAGCCTACTAAAGGCCATGCCAAGACTTTGAGTGGGTCATTCCATAGAGATATCTGGTTTAGAACGAAAGGTTTAGGGGGCTACTGTTTGAATACAAAATTACAAAAGCATGAAATAAAATGGGCACAAGTTTGGTATAGTCTGTAGTACTTTAGCTACAATTCTTAAACATTTATGTGTTAGAGGAAAATAAAAAGATTAATAGAGAAGGGTGGGGCACAAGATACGTTTAATTAGTTTAATGGTATTTTCTGGTGCTACAAGAAATTTTTTATGTATGAATAAACATTATCATTGATTGTAAAATTTTCGATTTGGTTTTGTGAAGATCTTTTATCAACGTTGAGATTGTTTTAACCATGCTCGACCTGTGATTTAATTTTGCACAGTTGATTACAGCTTTGCTTTCAAGGGACATATTTATTGGAAATTTCTTAAATGCACTCTTTCATGTTACAGGACTCGTTTTGCTTTTGTCAATTTCCCTTTATCTTCGACGTGAAAGCCAAGGCAGATATCATAGAACTCGATGCGCAACTGAAAATGGCTGTAAGTACGACTTGATTTTGAAATGCTTAGAATGACTAAGGACTCGGCTCCCTATTTTAAATGGCAAATGGTGACAAATTTCATATTTTTGATATTGTTTGTTGAGATATGTTTTGCTAGTGCTCCTTTCTTCTTAACGGATTCGGTTATTCTATATTTCCGTCACTCTTCTGTATGGTAAGCTAAATATCTGATTCGTTGTTTGTCTTTTTTTGTAAAACCATTGACTCTGGTGGGACACCGATTCTGTACGTTTTTCGATAAGCGCGCACCTCTAAATGATATAGAGTAATTAAAAAACGGTCAAAAACAAAGCGATTTTGAGGTATGATCTTTTTCAGGGCCCATGCTTAGGGGGGCAAGGGACCAGGGAGCCAGAGGGCCACAGGGCCTTCCCCATAGGCAAGTGGCACTGATTGGGCAACCTTAGCAGTCATGTTCTAACCCAAAACCACAAAATGGGTATATTTATTTTGTAGGGTAAAATTTTACTAAGGTAAAATGTACTCTGAAGAATGTTAGGTGAAAACTCTTCAAATGTATGCATAAAGTATGCCTGAATTTTTTTTATTTAATGTATGCATTAAGCCCAATAATCGACATAATTTTACCTTATCTTTTTATGAATATTTAGATTTAATTTGTGCAAGAACATTTACAATTATGTTAGAACAAGTTAACAAATCCTAATACAGTTTATTTTATCTTTAAAAATTTAAAAATGTTTCAAAGATATGGTCTCAAATACATCAACCCAAGATCCATTCGTGGAACTTCTGCAAAAATTTCATCACAACAGTAATAAGGGGGTACAAGACCATTTTTAATTTGTTGGCCTCTCAGTTTATAATTGATGGCGTGGGCCCGGTGTCTGTTTGTCATATCGTCATCAACTAGGGCTATTTCTATATGGTTACAAATCAAAAACAGCTTATTTAAACTTCCATGAGGAAAACATAAATATACGTTTTGATTACGCATTTGGTAAACCATAGGCACAATCTAGCCATAGCTGACGCAAGTTTTCGATGTTTCTGATCTAAGGCTATTTTTCTGACCCCGTTGTTCATATCCGTTGACTGGTGTCGAGTAAAAAGTTGCATTCGTTTATCCCTATCTGTATTCTAAATAAGTACTCACGTTTAAAAAGCGCACATTCTTAAACAGACAGGGTCCTTTTGACACCACTGCTTAGTCACATCCTATCTACGTCTGCCTCGCCGAAGGGTGTAACGTGATACCAACAGGCATCAATACTGCCCCATTTTTATTGCGTATCAATTTAATGGCAATTGTTTTCAATTACCAATCACAGATTTTTTCCACTATCACCCTCTCTCCCCTTATCAAGCGTAGAGCTTTTTGTGATTTTCTTCTTAGTTATCTTCTGTCCAGAAGATTATACCTTAGAAGGTTCAAGTAACGAATCTGTTACTTGGGTCTTTCATAAAACGGACCTATTGCACCAAAGTTTTTTATTCTTTCTTCGAAAGTTCCATAGTACCATAAACAGCACTATTTAGTATACTTTTAGCAATCCGTGGAGAGGACAGTCAACGAGAGCGTGCAAACTGTCCAAGGAGCGCTCCCACTTGTGAAAAATCCGTACCTTCTGTTTCATGTCCGGAGAGGTGCTAATCTTGTTCAAGATACCATACGACAAGTGGAAAATATTCAAAATCACGGTATAGAACAACTCTCCGAAGAAGAGGCTCGTTTGGAATTCAAGAAGCCACTCAAGGTATTGAGATTTTTTCCAGGGAATTAAGCATTAGTTTTTTGCTTTAATGGGTTTGCTCTTTTGTTAGAATTGGTTTTTCTGTTTTATTTATAAACAAGCAAGGTGGATAGATTTGATGATAATTGTTGATATCAAATGCAGCCAAACGAGAGGAGAATTGTCCTTCAACGCAAAGAAAAATCCTCAAATTTAATATCAAGCTTCAAATCTCGTTCCAGACAGAGTAATTTCATATTTTGCCATTTTGATGTTTCTAATGAGTTATTTTTCTAGTATTCCCAAAATCTATCGTAAATTCTCGCATAATCTTGCAAAAATTGCTTGTTTATAAAATTGTTAGGTATTCTTTCAATGTACAACCCAAATGTTACCATTATTTGGTCATTATCCAACACTACCCAGCAAAGAGGGTGATGAAAAATAGCTTTACGTGTGTTTGCATACTTTTATAGATGGGTTAAGCCATCAAAACTCTTTTTATTCCCAAACAACTTCCTATGATTTATAGATAGTTTTGTAGGCGATAATCAAGGATATGTTCATTTGTCTTCTAATCGCATATATCAATATGAAGCTATTTGAATGTATAGCACAATCAGGCCATTTACAATTAACAGTTAATTATCGAACAGGGGTCATAACCGTTATATGATAAAATGGTTTCTCTTTATTAGATTGTCTTCGAGGGAGAAAGAGGGGTAGATTGGGGTGGACCCAAGAAAGTAAGTTTACTGTACTTTTACGATGCCAACAACTCTTCTCTAGGCAAATGGTTCACTGCCAACCTTGTATATTTTGTTGTGCAAGATGCAATTTTCGCATGTGAGCTTGAAGTATTTTTAACCAGGAATTATGAATACCTCACCTGTGAGTAATTACGCAAAAGAATAACATTTCATTAACCACACGTAAAGAATGAACAATTCCCTTTATTTTCAAGGGGGTGAAGGTAAAATAATCCGATTTTCTACCATAAGTTGTTGCTTGAAAAAGTTGTGGTGCAATTGCCGGCGCCTTTCAATCCTGCTTCTTGCATCTCAACATTCTTTTCTCCAAATGTTTGTTAATGTAGGTTAAGGTACGATGTTTGCTAATGTAGGTTAAGGTACGATGTTTGCTAATTTAGGTTAAGGTACGATGTTTGCTAATGTAGGTTAAGGTACGATGTTTGCTAATGTAGGTTAAGGTACGATGTTTGCTAATGTAGGTTGAGGTACGATGTTTGCCTGAATTTTTGCTACTTGCCCTAGCCCAGTTACAACCGTATATGATTGGTTTTATCTAGAAATGACAAACTTTTTCCCTTACAGGAATTTTTCTTGCTTTTAATTGAAGAGCTTTTTGATAAGAAATATCGAATGTTTAAAGAAATTGAAAGTTCTCAATCTGTATGGTTTGACAACAAGGTAATCCGTTTTTGCAAAGTTTTACGTCATCATCTTAATTTTTCTTGCAGCATTAAATTTATATCCCAACCTTCAAACAATGATATCACTTGTTTTAAATTCTTTTAGCCATATCTTTTTGTCTTATGGCATATTCCTACTATAAGCAAAGCACTCATAGCTGCGTCGAGAACTCGTCATATAATCTATTTGTGTTTACGGTATTCTTTTTGCTAAGCAACACAGAACAAGTCACTCTTAGTTAAAATCGGACACCATTTCCATTATTCCAGTTCGTTTTTTACTCGTGTACCTTAAATCCTCGAATAAGCGGTCCCGTATATGCCCTAGCATCGTACAATATTTGCTTTAGTGTTGCTTTGATACCCTTTTTTCTTTTTTAGACATTCGAAGATTCCAAAATGTATTACATTATTGGGGTTATTTGTGGGCTGGCATTGTACAACTCAGTTATAATCGATCTGCATTTCCCCCTTGTTCTGTACAAAAAGCTTCTTAATCAGTAAGTTTGACTTCTTTTACAACTGTTTATTCTCTAACTATCTTTTTGGTTAAAACACTGAAATTACGATACTAATCTCGTGCATATCTGAAGGCTAGATGGAAGAATGGAGAAATTATTAAAGGAAAAGAGAGTCAATGCAAGTACAATTTTTGAGCTATGACAGATAGTACTTTGATGATATTAAGGACAAAACCACTCGTCAGGGTACGGTGGAATATAATACCTGATAGAATAGCTCGATAATTTGTTTTAATGCTCTTATCATAAAAGCATCTTCATTTTCATTTCATTTACATACTTTGTTATTCTTTCCAGAAAACTAAATTTGGCTGATTTCGAAAGCTTTGATCCCAATCATGCCAGGTACGTATGATAGTTTCCTTTATGTTAATAAATATTCTATTTCTAAAAAATAACAGCTCTATTCCTGTTAATTTATACCAATCATGTTAATTTATTTAATGTTTATACTTTATTCCATTCATTCCATTCGTTCTGTTTCAGTGAATTGTCTCTATGTATGTTAATTAATGTCCTTCTTGCTATTGAATTGATTTTATGTTATGGTTTATTCTCTTAATGTTCACTGATTCAATTCATCATAAGTGATTCAGTTTATGGTAATTTGCTCGATTTATGTTAATTTATGTTATTTTTGCTAAAAGTAATTTATTCCCATATATATTTACCGATATATGTGTTGACACCGGGTTTTTTATGCTTATCGATTTCATTTCTGATGATTTTGATTGTGCTAATCAAAATAAAACTGACTCCTTTCCCATTTACGTATAGTGTATGTTGCTTTCACATTCTTAAGATTCTATCATCATTATTTTTACTGTAGAACACTCACCTACCTGCTGAATTATGACGAGATAAACGAAGGCGATGTCGAAAACAACCTTTATTTGAATTTTGCTGTAAGTACAAACTTATGCGACGTGCATTTTTCTCCAAAGTTGTTTTACAATATCAGTAATTTGTACTGGCCTTTACCAATTTTTGTTAGATTTATTGAGATTTACAAAATGTATTGCTTATTAATCGACTCGAGTATCATCAACAGATTGATGAACAGGACTTTGACGAAATAAGAACAGTGGAGCTTGTAGAGGATGGGATCAATAAATCCGTCAATGCGCATAACAGGTAAGAAGAACTAAATTTATATTTGTATTTATAGCAAGTATTTGTATTTGTTTCTACCTAGCATCCAAAGGTATTTTTAAGGACACTGAGAAACTTATGCTTATAGAGCAGTGTCCTGGTCATTCCTCTCGATGTGACCACACCTCGTGATTCCTACGCCTGGAATTACGGAGAGCTGGCGACTCTCCTCACTCTATGTGAAAGTTTGGTTATGCCAGGAACTCCGACCACAGACCCTTAGGTAGTCGGCGCCTTTTACAACTGAGCCATCCTCGCACTTTGCTCGCAATTTGCATTACTCGAAATTTGCAAGTAATACACAAATATAGAAAAAAAGTTATACCAGTCTTTCATATACTGCTCGTTTCCGTTTAGGCACAGCTGTGCACGCTGTGGTGTATCGAACAGGACAGTTCAAAGTTGCAACTAACAAGCATCTTGTTATGTAAACCAAAGTGTTTACTGCTATGCCAAAGCGGCATCAAGCTCTTAATGACAGACTGGTAAAGCAGTAAATTTCCAACACTATTTAGCCATTTTCACAGCCAATCCCATATTTTTATGTCTAAATCTCATTTAAAGGAATTCGTTCCATGTTAGGCTGTCCAAAGAGGTCTGTAACCGAAACTGATCTAAATTAGGAGAGGGTTTTGAATTATCAATGCTTTGGTGGCTCATTTTCAAGATTTTGGTCATCGGCCGTGAATAAATCCTTGATGAAATTAAATAAATAAAAGTGCCACGCCCGAACTCCGCCTTTTTTAATTTGTTTTCTGATGAGGTTTTCCAGAACTTAGAGGCACTATGGCCTGACGCATTTCGCTGGCCAGGTAAATTCCCAATGGTTAGACTATTCAATAGACCTTGGCGTTGATTTCTATTCACACCTGAATACAGGTGTGTGCTTACTTTGGTTCATTATACGACGTTTATTCACTAAGGTATGTCGGAGAAAAAGTAAGTAAGTCTGGTGTGTGTCTGCTTTCCGTGCTGTCTCCAAACTGTCGAATACTTGACTTCGCCTGCCAAGGAGAATCGTAAATGATAGCGAATGTCTTGTAAAGCCAATAGAAGGGATTATATCATTTGGAATCATTTTGTTTTTGCTTTTTGTAAAATTTTTAATTGATATCATCTCACAGGAAACAGTTCGTAGATTTAGTCATTGACTACTACCTCAACAAATCGATAGCTGATCAATACCAAGAGTTCTCTAAGGGATTTTACGATGTTTGTGAAAGAGAAACGCTGGTAAGATATTATCTTATGGTACTGAAGCTATCTATGGTATTTAAGTAAAAATTGCTGTTGATTGCATGATATAAGAACATCATTGTTAACATAGTTGATATAGTTAAGATTCTACATAGTTAAGATTATCTTGACTATGCACTAGTTCAAGAAAGGAAACTTCAACTAGAACCCTAAAAATGAATTTTTCTATTGTCGGAAATATGGCAACCTTGTGTGTTTTAACTTATTTTTATCTATATTAATCATTCATATTGTGACGATGTTGGTAATCGATCACGTATCTTTGTGTTGTGGTACCCTTCATTCTTTGTCTAGAGGTGATTTGTAAGGTTCATTTCATTTTTATAAAAATGAGGCCATATAATCGCCATTTATTCGATTATCCAGTAGACCAGGTTTTAGCAAGGTGTGAAATGATTTTGATAAGGCAACCGAAACAGCTGTGTTTCCCGTAAAACTTGAAACTGCAGTAAGCTTTTTAAAAATAGCTGGCCAATTATCCAAGATTTACCAATATTTGATATTTTTGGGTTGCCTTCTAACGGTTAAAGCTGAAAACAAAACCATTCTTTATTCTACCAAAATATTCACAAGATTACGATACATTTTGCCAAAAATGACAAAGCTGATATTCAGTTGTGATTTGGAATTGCCTTTTGGAAAGGAAGGCAAACCACTAAACTAACTTGTGAAGAGAGAAACCTAACCAAAAGGGAATTACTTGGTGCATAAGATATGGTTTAGAAAACACTGATCAATTAAAAAGGTGGTTAAGCACCGGTTTACTGTTAACTTTCATCGGATAACGAAACTTTTGCGCATGTTAGTCAAAGATTAATCACAAACAAGCCGAGACAATAGCAGCACATAAATTCTTAGTAGCAATTCTTGCTTGCACAAGCATATATTTATTTTTTTTTAAGTGACAATCAATTATAGTGCTATCTTTTTACTTAAATTGCATTTTTGTCATTTTGTAACTTTTTTGTAGGATCTTCTTCGTCCCAATGAACTGAAGGAAATGATATCTGGCATTGAAGATTTTGACAATTTTTTGTTAATCAAAGAGGTTGTTAATTTTGGTTTTTACATCATCATTCGACATTATCATGGTGATCAACATTGACATCATCAGTCATCATACCCTGAAACCACCAGCATCGTCATCAATCCTCATCACTTTTAAATATCAATCGTCAATCATTAATCGTCAATCATTAATCGTCGATCATTAATCAGTGACTAAAATGTCCTTTAATCAGTTTTATCATCAATTACTCGCAGTACATTGTCTACGTAACGCAAGCTCTGGAAAGTGATCTGCGGGTCGCATCAGATCATGTTAGTCGGGTCCGTTCGATACACGGATGACAAATTACATCAATTACATAATTCAATGGAATCAATACATAAACTAACTTAAATGATCTGCCACTGGTCAAAAAAATTTTGCAATGTTACCACCTTTTAATCCAAAGCGCATGCGCAACCCAAAGTCGAATCCGATCTGCGCATTGTTTTCCAAAGAGGAATTTCACCTTAACGTATTGAGTTTGTTTCACTTCGCCTTTTAGAATGCCGTTTATGCCGATGGTTATCATGAGATGGACCCGGTTATTATCAACTTCTGGGATGTTCTACGTGATTTTAGCCTTGATTTGAAAAAGAAATTTCTAGGTTTGTAGCATTTTTTTTATTAGATTCACATGATGCTTGTAGTGCATCCTACTCAAAATTGATATCTTTAGTATTTATTCTTGTTCTTTAACATTATAACCCTTTAAAAACAAGTCATTGCTATTTTTCTCATCCCTATCTTTAGTTTCTTAATTTTCAAATGGTGACATTTTGTCTTTCTTTGTCACAAGATTGGCTCCATTTCGTGTCATAATCTTCTCCTTCCTTCCTGTTAAAATATCAATCGCGCTCTCATTATCTTTCGGAAATCTAAAATACTTGGAAATGAAAAGCAATTGTTTATAAACTTTCCTTTAAAGGGATCCATTCCATCGATCTACTTGTTGCTCAACTTCAGTTTTGAGGCTCGTGTCTGTCATTAAGAGCGAAGTACTTTCCCCTTTTTCCTTTGTAACGTCAATGACTTTGTTTTTAAAACTCTGCTTTGTCCAAGCTTTTCTAGCCTAAAACGTATAGAGTGGCAGACACTTGGGGGCGAAGGGGGGGGGGGGCGACCGCCCCCAAATACTTTAGAGGACAATGGTCTTTTGTTCGAAAACAATGGGAAATGTGACGTCATCTTATTAAAACAATATGCTTGCCCCCCCCAATATTTGACCAAGTGTCCGCCCCTGCGTATAGCTTCCAGGGGCGTTGTGGCTAGGCGGGATACCGGGAGATTTCCCGGTGGGCCCCTTACAAGTGACTTTGTAAAATCCAGGAAAATATTTTACGTGAATAAATTCTTTGGTGAAATTATCCCTCATTTATTTGTAAACTCAAGTTCGAAGTTATGAACTAGAGACATGGAGGTCAACTTAAACAAAAAGGGCCTCGTTAATGGGGAATGGGGTGTGTGGAATTTGAAGGAATAAAGGTCAAACAGAAGATGACCCGCTAGAATGAGGCTTGGGCGACCTGATGGAAGGGCCTTTGCTTTCGAAAATACCGTGAATTCAAGAATTAGCCCTTGAAGGCTTATTAATTACAGTTTTTAGATGGGGGGGGGGGGCATATTTTTTGGGAGCCTGTACGAGAAGGCACTTATAAAAGGAGAAGCGGATTGGTAGTCACTCCGCTTAGATCACATAACATTTTATTCTATACATAAAAGGCTGTCTAATTTAGCCCGATTTGCAGCCACGCTCTGCTTACAGTAACAACATTCTGCAACATTTATAGTCATGGCTGTTAGTTAAGAAATCATTCACATTGTGATAGAAGCATGAAACTTGGTTAATATACATATTTTGACACGCTGATAAAAATAGGTTGCAGACTTTAAGAAAACAAAGATATGCTTTTGTTCTGTCGTTATTATTTATGTTATTTTCCCCAGCGGTCCCGCTTGCACCAATAGTTTTCTGGAAAGAATAGGCTCCTTTTATGGTTATTTTCTCCCGGCCCTTTTCTAGGAGCCACAACGCACCTGATAGCTTCCATGACATACTTACACGTTGTTGTATGCCTTTTCTACTTCGAACTGAAAAAACTTTGTTTTTTATCATACAAAATCCCTAGGTCTCTAGCAAAGCCGATTAGCTATATGGACTTTTTATCATCTAATATTCGTCACTCTGCCTTTATGCGCAGACGTCAAATGACTATTACGAAATTCATCTAGCCTATTTCAAGCTACGAAATTAACTGTGTTATATTTATTATTTGCCATAAGCTACGAAGATGATAAAGAAACTTCGCTAAAAATTAATTCTTTTCTGTCTTTTTTGGCGATATTTCGCAATACTGTGGAAGCTAGCTCTCCTAGAATACATTATTCATACTCAAGAAATCAAGTCAGATGTAGTTCTCATTACATCCAGTGTGCAATCTCATCAATTTTTTATAGACGATTCTAAATACTGACTTAATATTCTCCTGGGTTTCTTTGTGTTAAGAAATGTTTTTTTCATGTCATTTTAATCTTTTTGCGCCATCCATTTAATAGGTCTGTTGCAATAAAGGACTTATTTCGCATTGAAACGACAGTTTTGCACCGACGCTGGTGTTTCTCTAGTCCTTTAAATTTGAGTCGATCAATAGGAATTAAATTTCTGACAAATGTAAGGGGTTGCTAAGAATAAAATGATCGAAAGTCTTAATTACAAATGTAAGAAATTGTGAAGGTTACAGTTCCAATCTTTACAAAAGCTGAACCAGCAAACGAATAGTTCCAAGGGTGTTGCCTGTTTGCCCTCAACTGTTGGCTATTCCGTTTCTTTGTAACCATTCAATCCAGCGCGGGGCCCGGGCCGGAAACATATGTGGGGCCCCTTTTTCTTTACAGTTTTTATCTTTTCTTGGGTGGGGGACCCTTTCTGTCTACCATAAGTGCAGTGCCTGGGACCATGGCACCCCTGGGTCCCCCCTAAAGCCACTAACTTTTCAATCTTGCCAGAAGCGAATGAGATTTCCACAAAAATGCAAAACGACAGAGTTCCTTTATTGTGACGACACATTAACTGAAAGAACACCGTGAAATATCTCTGAATATGCAAAGTCATTTAAATCTATTGAAAAATGGGTGAGATATGGCAAGTGAAAGATATTGACTTTCCTGGCAGATTACTGTTAATTTGGCTTGATATATACAGTTATTAACAGAGACCGAATTACAATGATCTGATGTTCCAAAAAAAGGAAAGCGTGATTCTCGATAGGTATCGCTCATAAAGCTTTTATTTGATTTCGCACGTATGGAGGTCTTTCCTGGTGCTTTTTCTGGCAATGTGATCCAAATTGAAAAAGTCTTAGATAGATTCAAGCGAAATCATCACTTAAGAACTCTGGATTAATTCCTAGCATGGTTTCACACAACCTAAGGTGAATTGTTTTCAAAGATGTACAGGGATAGCAATTTGTCCATTATTCATTTATAGCTACGATTAAATCACTCTGTCAAAAGCTTTTTTCAACACTAAAGAAATGCTACTGTACTATGTTTGCTGTTCTCATTAACTGCTTTAATTCCCTTTCAGAATTTTTAACTGGTAGTAACAAAATCCCTATAAAAGGCATGAAAAGTGTTGAGGTAAGTTGCCATGAATATCACTTTATAGATCCTTGCCTAAAAACTTAATTGTAATATCTAAACGAATTCAAAATATAAATAAGACCGTAGAGGAATTTAATTTTGACTAGCCTTTGAGCACGCTCGGTTCTTTTGAAATATTAGGCGTTGTTTCTTTCTCGGTATTTCCTTCTCGGTATTTTCACCTCGGTATTTCTTTCTCGGTATTTTTTTCTCTGTATTTATTTTAAACGGGGGTCCAACTCTACCCGTTAAAGATTACTCTATCGAGTTGCTATTATGAAGGATAAAAAGATTATAAAGAAGTTGATTCCGTTGAACACGTCCCTTGGAAGAGAATTTAATTGTAAAAACGAGAAGATTATGCCGTTCAAGGGTAATTCGAAAGATATTTTTCAGATTTGTTGGCAAATAAAGGATGGCGCTCCCATTTTGTGGGCAAACGGGATCGGGACACCTATTATGAACACAGTAGCTAGCGAAGTCCCTGCATGCATAAGTCGTCATTGAGAAAGCAGATCTCTTTGTCCCTCTTTCTCTTCTTTAGTATGATTAATTCAAAATGACTTCTTTTTCAGATTAAAATAGCCAAGGCAATACTTGAGAACGGCCAAGACGAGCAGCGATTGTTACCCGTGGCTCATACTTGTTTTAACTTATTGAAGCTTCCAAGATATAAAAACAAGACAATAATGGAAGAGCGAATAACGTTCGCTGTGAGTAATTGTAGCAAAGGGTTTGGTTTGGAATAAACATTTACATAGTGAATGCATTTATAAAGGATATTCAAGTGTGATAATTCACCATATTTTGGAATCACCGCGCTCATCTTGTCACTTTGTCTATTCAAAGCCGTCGGATGCGGAGACTGGGATCTGCAACCCTCCAAAATTTCTGCAAATCGGTTAATCGTCCCGGTTTCAATAAAGAGCTGTCCGCCCCTCTTCTCCCGGACTCCCTTAGAGATATGAATTCGTTCCCACGAGGTAGGCGTTTCAGATAACAATTTTTATTAAATATGATTTGCACTAAACTTGGTTTCCTGTGCTCATACATATGTTTGTTTAGTCCTGTTCTCTTTTGCACCTTTGATCTTAGACCTACAAAGTCTCTTATTCCAACAAAAACGAGTTTTTTTCATTTACCAAAACTCACTGCTGATTATATCACTTCTGCAAAAAGAAAATTACATACCATTTCTATTTTTGGAATGATAAATAAGTATTTATGGCCAAAATGAGTATATATGATAGTTTGGTTCAATGAAAAATGGTACAAGCGAAGCAACAATTATGCCGCACGATATTTTCGTTTTAACATGGTGATACGCAATATTTGAGTACCGTAGCAACTTGTTACAGTACCGTAAGTTCTTAACTAAATGCTCCTTCTATAGGGTGCTCCATCGAATAAGCCGCCAGCGTCTACTGCCTTCTCAAATAAAAATATAGATATTAACATATATAGTAGTCTAATTAAAGTGCGTACTGTAAGGATACTTGACCCCGTTAATGTTGACTGGTTTTCGAAATATCTTATCGTCAAAGGGATATAATAAATTGTTAAACGAGTATAACGTTCTTGCAAGATTGCACAAAGGTTGTTAATATGCACCCCGTTTATAAGCCAAAAGCACGACAATTGATTTCGCAGCCAGACGCGTAATGGAGAATTTACTTCTATTAAATAAATATAGTTTTGGTACTTTTGTTTCTATATTTTGACATCTATTTTGCATAATATTGAATTGAAACAATATTTGAGATTAAATATATGCCTCATGATAGTGGAAACTTCTGTTTAACCTACTTTCATTAGGCACAGCCGTGAACGTTTTAACTCTAAAGTACAGGGCGGTTATAAGTTGCGACCCTGAGTTTTACGCTTAACGTGATCATCAGGTCATATGTTAGTTATACAGACGGTATTATAGCTACAAACAGTTGATAATTCTTGTTCTAAATATCTCGAGACAGCTATGCGTATAGTTTTCTATGGCACATGCTAAGGACTTAAAAGTAAGAGCTGTGTATGGAAATATAGAAAAAGGAAATCCTAACACAGGCTATAGTGACAACATTAGAAAAGTTGGTGGCAATGGGTGTTGTGAGAATTATTGAGCTGGTATAGGACAGGGACCCGTGGAAAGACACCATCATTTACTTACTGCGGGCCTTCCTTTTGATGATGATGATTCTTGTGGCGATCTATTCGTATTTTTGTTTTGTTTCTACCTAGCATCTGAAGGTAGTTTTTAGGACACTGAAAAGCTGTGCTTATCGAGTAGTGCCCTCCTCCTTCCAATCGATTTGACCACACCCCGTGATTCCTACGTTTTGAATTACAGAGAAACTTCCCTCACCCGTGGGTCTCTCACCCCAGACACGTGGATCTGTAGCCTGTGACACAAACCCGCTCAAACCACTGACCCATCCTCCCACTAATCTGCGATGATTCTAATACCAAAGCAAATTGTTAGAAGCAAAATGCTAATAATTCTTATTAATCAACAAAAGCTGAAACTTTTAGGGGATCTTTTAGAATTATTTCCTTTGGCAAATATGATAAAATTACCAGCATTTTTATTAGGAATTTCTGCTTAGGCTCACTGGCTCAGTGCTGAAAATGCCTTGACTAAAGCCCAAATTTGAGTACTCAAAATTCCTTAGACAGTCACTTTTTCTTCATGTTTCTTTGAAATAAAACTAGGAACAAGTAGATATAGTGTCATCACGAAATGAGAAGATAAGTTTAAAAGAAAAATAAAAAAAATTGATGATAAGTTTTGTTTGTAACTGAAATAATACAAAACGCATGCGTTTTATTCTTCACACTTCTTAGCAGTTTCACATCCAGTAGTAAAATCCCTTGTGGTTCACCTGTCCGAATACCTTCCTTACAAAGCGTTTCCTAATAACAGGAATGCTTGTATGCTAGTTTGAAAAAAGTCAGGCAACGTGGCCATGCTGGTGTGTCATATTTTCAAATCCCCGAGATGGGGAGCCCCAAGAGAAGGAACAACAACAAGTCAATTTTAAAAGCTAGGTAACTTGGGATCAATAGCAATGCTTATTTGAATAAGCGGTTTTAAATGATCTGCAGCCACAAATTGCATTCATTCTTATTTACTTTGAAGAAATTTCTTCGACATGTATTGCTAACGGTATGGCTTAACTATTTCTGTCGCAATTTCACAGTATTTTAAAGGCAAAAGGCCTTGGATAACGGATAATAGGATGTCGCATGTGAATTGTTTTTTCTTCAAGTATGCAAGCTAGAAGAGGTAGGTGTTTTTTCCGTCATATATCCAGTATTGCCAAACAAAAGGCTAAACGTGCTTCTTGCTCACATCCTGAAAAGGTTAAACGTATACTAGAAGGCAGCAGAGGCGGATCCAGCGGAAAATCTGAGGGGTGCTTAAGGGCGTTGCCTTAATAGCCATAATAATGCCACATCCTACTTTTTTTTACGGTTAAATGAAGGCAACACCCATCTTGATAAATTAATCTTTTTTAAATTCAGGTATTAAAGATTAACTATGTTGCTCAAGTGATGTGAACATGGTGTTTGTGACGTCACGATTATGCGGAAGGCTCGGGCGAACTCGTCCGAGCTCGGAAAATGCTCGGTGGCTAACTTTGACGCTCAATAACTCGAAAACTGTGTTGAATATTTAAAAAATAATAATGTATCAGGTATTTATGCTCGATATGCCTTCATTTGAGGTCAAGTTATTTTTGCGTGTCAGTTCACCTTTAAAATGTCACATGTCCATGCAAAATGTGGTATCATTTTCCAAAAAACGCAATAAATACAATAGCGGCCTGAATCATCAAGATTGGTAAATTTCTCTATAGCTCAAATAAGGTCCACTGTTATAATCAATGGAATTATGATTTTGATTATTTAAGTATTTTTCTCTATTCTGAAGAAGTTACGTGCCCGAAAAGATTAAAGGACAGCCTCTATGTTTGCCCCAGTTGTAGGATTGGAACTAGGTATAAAGCAAAAGAATTCCATCGTGACGTCACGAACTCCGAGATTGTCTACTGCAAGAAGTCTTTCTTATTGCCTCTTCTATCAAGACTGTTATATGAAAATTGCAAACTGAAAAGTTTTTACTGCAGTTGATAGTTGCTTGACTTTTTAAAGCCTGGCTTTGAATGATTGGCTAACTGGTCGGCAGGTGTGTCGACAACAGCTGGGCATGCTTACAATTGGTCCACGTAGTATGTTTCTTTCAACGTGATTTAGATTTCATAGCTTTTCACGTTTGACCAAATTTTCTCGACCTTACGTATGTGTGCAGCCATATTTTACATTTCCGTATGTCTAACTTTACTTAACTAACATGAAAGAAACATAATTTTGAAATTTTTATCATTTTTGCTATAGTCCTTCTAAGTTACAATTGTAATCCTTTGAATACTGAAAACACCCAGTGACACTACCGTTATGTTTGAGGTAAACAGCGTTCGTCTTTCAAACTTGATGTTTGACCCTAAATTTTTCCATTCAACAAATTACATCTCTGGGAAAACCTGTCGAGTCTGCGCGCAAACTAACTTGATGTGCGCTATCATTTCAAAAGCAAAGAAACCACGCGATCGCCTATGTGTCGCAGGAGCGCGTAAAGAAAAAAGCTGCACGAATTCACAATTTTCTGAGGGCTTTCTTTTCAAACATTTCTCGCCAGCGGTATAATGCCAACGTCGTAATTACTCTTCAAACCGTCTTCAGATTCTGCTTTGGAGCTGAAAAATTAAATTTCGACATCTGAGATGATGAACGATGGAAATTAGGCACAAGAAAGTAGGAATAATACATGGTGTTGTGTGACGATGCGCGACGGAAAGATTGTTCAGTAATTGTGAGATCAGCAGAAGAACCTCTTTTATAAATCAAACTGTGAACTGGACGTTACATAGAACGGAGTATGGTCAAGTTAATTAGTTAGTTAGTTAGTTAGTTAGTTAGTTAGTTAGTTAGTTAGTTAGTCAGTTAGTTAGTTAGTTAGTTAGTTAGTTAGTTAGTTAGTTAGTTAGTTAGCTAGTTAGTTAGTTAGTTAGTTAGTTAGTTAGTTAGTTAGTTTAGTTAGTTAGTTAGTTAGTTAGTTAGTTAGTTAGTTAGTTAGTTAGTTAGTTAGTTAGTTAGTTAGTTAGTTAGTTAGTTAGTTAGTTAGTTAGTTAGTTAGTTAGTTAGTTAGTTAGTAACTTACTAACTAACTACCAACGAATTTGATTGCCCGTACCATGATATCTTTACAGCATTGTATCTCATTTGCAGGTATGTCAAGGATACAGTACGTAAGGATGTAGGATATATATACAAAGTTAGTAGCTTTAGTAACTTCAAAATTATCAGTGGCAACATGGGTTAATTCACAGAGGGATTGGGCTGTGAGGAAAACTCGGCAAGGTGCTTCTATTCCACTGTAAAATCGTATTGACTTGAAGCAGGTGCTTGCGTTGGCTATATTTGACACTGACGTAATGCTCAATTTCGTTCCAAGTTAGCAGCGAATCACTGGCCTGAGCAGGTGAAATCTAGCTACCTGATTGGGTCTCTGGAGATTCACATGGTCGAAAGTATTCTGAACACCCGGTACATCTGTTAATGGACGAGAAATAAAGCTTCACCTTGTTCTGCCTCATATCTACATAAGAAAGAGGGCGAATTCAAAAACAGACCGTCAGTTTTCTCGTGTATGTATGCATGTTCAGAACGAATATTAAAACAAGGAAATAACAATTTCTTTTCGCTTGCCGAAACCTGCCGGCAAAGAGCTAAGTTCAAATCAGTGTGTCTTTGGCAAGGTTGAATAGAAGGCAGAGCTGGGGTTTTATGAAATGGATGCGTCGGTGAGTATGTTGTTTTCACCTGTTTTTAGGAATACTAAGAAATTATTACATAAAAGCTGAGTTTTCTGGGAATTTTAATCCATGCTTTACAGATAAATGTTTTTTATGATCACTCAAAAATAGCGTTATTCCTGATATTACAAAAATGCAAAGCAAGGTCTATGTAAGCATTGTTGGTATTTTTGCTCCTTTTTGCATAAAAAATGTAATTCAGGTACTATTTTAACAAAATGAATAAAACCACAATGAAGTCTAAATAAAATATCAGTCGAGGCTTTTGCAACCCTTCTTCGTCTTCACGTTGCTTTGCCGTTGAGTTTCTGCATTTTCTAACATTTACTTCGCTGCAGATACAGTAAAGCATTTTAACGCCGATGCTCTGCTCTGTTTATCGAAATATAAATCGTTCGGGTTTTCTTACTTTCACCGTATGAAATGCAAGCAATTTCAGTGTGACCTCCTTTCGGAAAGAAATCATTCAAATTTGAGTCACGTGGAAGGTTTGTTTACCGTGCACATGCGCAGTGTGAAAAAATGCAAGAAACAGAAGCCTTAGTTTAAAAAGATGATGTTTGTCTAAAAGTAATTATATTATATCCATAGTCGCCTTAGAGTAATGCCAAAATATAAAAAGCTATTTTCATTGTCCAGCTTCATTTTAAATTTTTAGTTTAATAAACAAAATTTAGTCACATTGAATACTTGACAAGCAGCGCCTTTTTGGTGCCCATGGGTCATGGGTCACTAAAAACAGGGCTAAAGTTTTTGCACATCAGGTTTGCCAAACCTGAAACTACATTTCAGAAATTACACCAAATTTGGCAAGAATGTGCAAAATCAAACCTCCCTTTTCAGAGGCAATGTTAATTGTTGTGGGGAGGTTCTATAAGGATTCTCTTTTTGCTCAAATTTTTCTTGAGACACTGTATCAATAAAAATAGTACTCTATGATCCCTAGCAAAAACATAATTTAAACTACTCTTGTCTTGTCTTGAAAAAGAGAAGGACCAGTGGCGGTGCCAAGGGATGGTATGGGGTTGATGAGGAGCTACCCTTCTAATTTTGTGATAACATGGTCCCCATAATTCTTCTAAAAGTTGACAAAAAGTTTGATCGTTGTAAGTCGGATTTTTTTAACTTTGCCTAAGGAGCTACCCTTGTTATAAAGGACTTAAATGAGGCAAATAGGGCGTGGTTTCAAATGTCCATTGCCCATTGCATACTAACTCTGCAGTGGCTGGTACCGTCACTGAGAAGTTAAACTGGGATGAATAATAAAGGTCAACAATAAATACTTAAAATCCATGTTTAGTCTTGGTAGATGTTGAAGCCACAAGCTTACATTACCGCTGTGTTAAACATTGACATAATTTCATTTGTTATAACAAAATGCTCGCACATTTGTTCCTGGAATGCACAGGCCTGTAAATATGGAGCATTGCCTCTAACATCCTGATGCAATGAAAAACGTAACCAAGATAGAATGACAAAACTGAAACAGACTTAATAAGGTGTTATTATATGCTGGTTTAATAAAACTTTAGAATAGCGTACAAATTTGGTTTGTTTATATTTAATATTTTTGTGTATGGTTGCTGCGTGATTTTCATATCATTTGTGTGTTGATAAGAAAGGATAGAATCGTTTTGAAAAACCATTCGAAATAGAGCAAAAAGATAAAAATTTAGAAAATATCCCTTCAGAGTACGTCAAAAATGCCCAGTTCAGAACATAAGTTTGCCCTGGTGCTCATTGCTGCGATGCAAAAGTAAGCATTTCATTTAGCCCTTGGTTAGGCCTAGGCAAAAACTTATATTTGTGGCTTCTCATTAGCTTTATCATAGCAATTTATGATAAGATTTTAAGGTGGTCTACAAATTACAGGGGGAGCTTAGCATACACTTTTTTATTCACTTTATTTATTGTTGGTTTACAAAATAATAGCTAACAAACAGCTAATTAACACCAACTTGTAACAATAACAAATATAACTAAGAAAAATCGTGATGTTTACAAGTATCAAATGCTAGAAATATATGGTGTGCATGGTCTACACGAGCAAGTAAGATCCGTTTGTTTAATTTTAGCTTTGAATACTTTAAAACTGTCTGTCGATCGAATATCTAACGGTATAGAATTCCACAGTTCATTACATCTATAGGAAATTGTATCTAGCCAATAAGTAACAGTGTTCGGCTTTTTTGTATATTGATTTCGTAAATTATATGCAAGTTCATTCAACTGAAATATTTCTTTCATAAATACTGGATTGAAGTTATTTACTGTTTTGTATAAATTTATTGCTAGTAGCTGTAGGCTCTTTTGATGTATCCTGACATCATTTTTTTGTGAGAGAATATTTTCAAAGTTTGAGAATAACTGGTTAAGACCTCGTTAAGAAGCTTTGAAAACCGCTAGTAATGACAGATTCTTAATGTTTTAAATGAATGGGCTACTCGTATTTTTCTTGAAAAATTCCCACTTTCAATTGTTCTGATCAATACAGGGTATAGTTTTTTCAAAACTGCAGACAAAATCAATACTGATAGTGAAATTTAAACTTCTTATCCAGAAATTCACCTTTCCTCTTCAAAATAATTTAACTTAACCCTTGTCAAAAAGAAAACAAAATGTTGTAATGGTGCAATTTGAGATCCAGGGCTTCACATTTAAAAACGATTAGAAGATGTATCTGCTCCAGAGCTCGAGTTTTAATGAGGTCTAATATTGAGAGTGATAAAAAACTCCAAGTGAACTTTAAAGCTTTCCAACTGCAATTGGATTTTCCAACCTTTGGGGGGGGGGCTTCACGTCCCCACGCCCCCTATTATTTACGTGCCTGCTTTATTCTTCCCTTATCGCAAAATATTTCCTCAGAAATTTGTAGTTGATTTACCCAACACTATCTTGCTAATTAAATAATCTACTGGCTTCTCAGGTTGTCATTAATGTTCAGATCACAAATGTTTATTATTAACGGTAGACGGTTCGGCAAGTAACTGAAGAAGCATCATCGAATTGGGAATAAATTCTTCTGGAAAAATTTCTAGTGGGGGCTCAGGCCTCCCTGCCCTTTTTTAATGCAGAGCTGATTTTAAGGAACAGCAGGATAAGTCCCTTTTCAAGACAGACGGGCAAACAAGAATATATGTTTGAGTTCAACCTGAAATTCTCTATCAAAAAGGCTTTTTGTCATGTTCTGATATGAAGCGCACTTTGTTGAAGACTTTTTGAACGATATGAGCTTCTCACCTTGCAATATTTCATTTTTGATTTTTACTTTTGCTGGGAAAATAATAAACCATTGTCTTTGCCTCGCAAAGTCACACCTAACAAACTACCACTGCTTAGAAGATTTTGCATGTGCTCCATGGGCGGAAGAAGAACCCTCTCATTATGTTTGATCAGCGCCACATCTAAGGTCTGATTTACTTAAAGCAAAAAAGCAAAAATTGAGTAATAAATGGCCTAGTAATTAAGTACTAAACACAATTTCCTATAAGATCAAACAGATGTGGAAAAGCGTTCCACAACAAATAAAAAATAGCAAATGACGTAAGCTCATTAAAAAGCAATTTAAAGAAAATACAAATGACAGCTTGCACCTGCAGATTGTGGATTCCTTGTATTCAATAAGTAGGGTACTCTATTGCACCTCAAATTCTAATTATATTCAATTCAATTTAGTTGTAGATTTTTAGCCTCGATAAATTTTTTATCAATTCATTAAAATTTGAACGTATAAGTTGGTATTAATAAGCTAATTAGCTACCTTTAATAAATATATCACCAACTTTAAATACAACAAACTGAAACGTCGAATACATAAATCGTCGCATTGCATCTGAAACTGCTGATATAAGCAAAATTTCAGCTATCACCTGCATGGGTCACTGCAGCTTTCTTTATGGACTTTGGTGCTCGTGTGCATGTGACACCCTCGTTGATATATGCAAAATTCACCGTGAATTGGTTTAGTCTGCATATCATTCGGCAATGAAGACAAAAGTTTATCCCCACCACAGGGGTATTTTAATTGACCCATTGCGGTTATAGCCAACTGGTACAATGTTTAGTAAACAAACATTAACCAGCAAAAAGAAATTTCAATAAGAATGCTTAAGTTTTGCTGAACTATAATAGCATCTACTGAGCCTAAGATTATTCTTAAACACTCCTTGCTTGGTTTTTTAAATGTTGAGTCTTTCCTAGCAAAATTTAGAACATTTTGATTTGTTTTTCTTTAAAGGAAAAGGGTAAATGGGGTCTGTATTATGTGAAGCTACTTTCAGCAGTAAACTGTCTCTTTGTCCAGCGCCACAAATCACAGGAGAGTGCTTTTCCTAGAAAATTATTTCTGTTTCCCCAAAACAGCAAAGTATCGAGTAATCTTTTTCTAATGAAATGACTTTAGTAAAAATTGCCAAATTTTATGCAAAAATCTGCAAACCAGTGGGATATGGTTTGGTTCTCAAATGATTCTGTACACTGGCAGAAAATGGGTGGTGGTGCTCAAGGCACAAAGTCCCAAAAGTTTGATTGTTGCTCACGTCTTGATCCCCAGCCAAATCCACCTCACAAAACAGTTATCAAATCCCTGATACCGGTTCGAATCATGCAAAGCCTCGAATTAACCCCCTGAGGGCTTATTCAATTATGAAGTTTTTGGATGGAGGTATTCGAGGGGGGCTTGAAAAATTATAATAGACATTTAGAAGACATTGATAAAAGACATCGTATAATCGAGACATTGTATTAATTTCATTATGAACATTTAATTAAGCATTACCAAAAGTTTGAATTTTTGTGGCAATTCAATAAAACGTCAAAGGCAACCTTCAGATAGCCTGTGCTCCAGACCCCTAACTTGAAAGTAGAGGGCTGGAATCTACAGATTTACTTTCAAGTTAGGGGTCTGGAACACAAGCTACCTTCATATGGCAAATGTCAACAAATCGAGGTGACCCAATTCGAGAATTTACGGTAGCAGTGGGGGCTCATTCGAAAGGTGGGTTTATTGACAATTTGTAGTTCTAGGGTGGGGGCTTTTTCGAGTGGGGGGCAATGCGAGGATTTACGATAACACAAGATCTCTCGATTCCCGTTTCAAGAATTGTTGATTCCCGATTTTCCAGCTACACTGACTGAAATAGTAACAAAAAATCCCTGTCTTGTAAATGACAATTCCCTAGTATCACGCCGTTGTTTCCTGTGAAGGATATTTCCTTTTATATGGAAACTTTAGTCTTTGGGAGGAAATAAGAAGGAAATGAAAAATAGAAGGAAAAAGAAGGATATTTTAGAAAATAGAGGGAAAATGAACGAAATTTGAGAAATGATAACAAAAAGGACTAATCACCAAATTTGGCAGTTGTTTTTATCAATAGACTTCCGACTCAAGTGATTTTTATTAAGTTTTTCCCTTTTTAGGCTATTGTTTGGTCATCCAAAAACCAATTGCTTTTCTTTTCGTGATACTTACATAAATTTCAGTGTGAAATATTACAGCATAATTTGTATAAATTAACAAAGATGATTGTTAATTGGGTAGCTATGAAGCGTCAGGGGATATTACTTGCCAATTTAAAGCTATTTTCAGGGGTTAAGCAAAAAAGAAGGTTTTTGGAAGGAGTTAAAAATGATTTTTGCTAGCAAAAAGGGCGTGTCTCATTCTTTAAGGGTGTGGTTAAAATATATCTAGTGACATACTTTAAAAGTTCGACTACTACAGAAATGTTAACATGTTACAATTGTTGCAAAAAGGTTACAAGGTGAGTACGGAAATTGTTTCTTTTGCCCAGCAAAAACCCTTAATGTGTCAACAAACTGTCCCCCCTTTGGCGATGCCCCTGGTTATGAATCGTGAGAGGAAATTGGAAAGAAGTTTCATGTTAAAGAAAGGAGATTTAGGGAAATATTACCAAGATTACAAGGCAATATCGTATCTAAAAGTGGAAGCACTGGCTTGCAAACCCTTGATGAGGGAATTTTTAAGCCTCATTTTCGTTACTGATGCTTTGCCCAGGGCTGCTTTTGCTCAGTTACAAAGATTGCAAAACCGAGAATTCTAACACCAGCAGTAATGTCCTAGGCCAACAGCTTGAGTATAGGCTTGATTACAAGACTACTAGGAGTTGTAGTAAACCTTGAACCTAAATTTTCGTGCTTACAAATCGTAACAGAATAAGTTGTGGCATTTATGTTCCGTTAGGAATTTTTATAAGTCTGTATACATTAACTACTAAAAGTCACTACTAAAATGCTATTAAAAAGAGCCCTGCTTAGAACAAAGCACATTATTCTAACAATGTCATTCCTTCTTGCTGGGATATCCCGCCTGCTTCTATTTTCATTGAGAGTAGTGTCCTGTCTTCGCTGTAAGACTTAAAGTCCCGATGTCTTCCCGGTAAGCCGAGACGGGATGAATATCATAGTTATCTCTAAGGAAATCAGACGGGGTCAAGCTCTTGTTCATTGAAATAGAAGAATGCTACAATCCCGGACAAAAATAGTCGAGAATTTTCAGGAAAAGTCGATACTCTCTTTTCTCTTTGTCGGGGATAGAGTGTTTGAAAAGTTCCTGTAGCAGGGTTTATTTTGACGTGCAGTGTTAACCAATTATTGCAATGAAAAATCGTAATTGTGCAGTGATAAACTCAATTTTTGTGCAGTGATCAGCTCAACTTTTTTGCAGTTATAAAACTAAAAAAAGAGATTTGATAGTGAACAAGTAAAATTGCAGCATCTACTAGTAGACACATAAAGCTCATAAAAGAGCTTTACAAAATTGAAAGCGAGAGCATAGCAGCATCAATTATCATCAATTATCATATCTATGAAATTTCTCCAAAGTTTTATCGAATTTAGTATCTAGAATCTATCTAGCTTGATTTGTTCTTCATCTTCTCCTTTGAGATTTTTGTTCTCGAAAACTTGTTTAAACCTGGACCACTTTTCCTTGTCAAAATATCTTGTAAACAGGGCTGGCGAAACTTATTTGAAAGTGGAGGGGCCAAAATATCAAAGTCTTGAAAGGACTTAGGAAAATTTTCGAACTATGGTGCCTTAGGGATGGCCAGAAACTGTATCTAAAATGAATTTTGACTGAAGGTGACGCATAGTCGCGTCTATTGTGATGCTGACTTGAAATAGAAAAGTTTTGCAAAATTTTAGAATAACCACTATCATATAGCTTGTAATGAAACTTTTTTTAGATTTTAAAAGTACCGAAATAAGATGGGGGAGAAAAATAAATGAAACACGGATTAATTAAAAACATTAACGTTGAAATATCAACAGAAGAACTATCAACTAAAAATAAAAAGTTAAGCAATTTTGTACATTTAAGATATAACTTTTGTAACATCTGATCTTAAATTTTTCGGAAATGAAGTGCTTTAACAAAAATTAGAAATACCTTCAAACTGGGCTTGTCAAAATGAGTTTAAATAGAATTTATAATTGCGTCAATTCTTTCTCTTTCTTAGTAGGAATGGATTATCCAAACGATCAAACTCTGAAGTTTTATTGATGATACTATGGCTAATACAAAACTTTCTGCCCATACTTTATTTCTCATATCCACAGAAAAGATCTTTCCAGCTGTTTCTTTTTCTTCAACAGCTGATTTCTCTCTTTTTGTAATGTTTGTGAGAAAGTTTTCATTAACAAATAGACCTTGTGTGCCAAATTTAGGCAATGGAAAAACCGAAACTCCGTCAATTTGTGCTGGCACCAAGTTATTCTCGACTGGGTTTCTCGATCTATTTGCTAAGCCATGCTGCTACTCGTTGTAAAACCAAAGATAATGACCGATTTCTTCGATCTAATTTCCATATTGAATTTTATGTACCGTAATGCCTCAAATAAGCGCCCGGGCGCTTATCTAACTTTTGAGGCTCCAGGATGGGCGCTTATTCGAGGGGAGCGCTTAATCGAGGAGGCGCTTATTTAAAAAATAGATTTGGAAGTGACTAAAAAAATGAATGTGTTTTCAATTGAAGCATGTTATTATGATGGAAAGGCGAAAAATGAGAATGAAAACTGAAACAAACTGTGTTGGTCATATGTTGTCGACGAAAATTTGAATAAGCGACCGTTTCTGAAGGTTGAAGAATGGGAGCTTATTCGAGAGGTGAGCGCTTATCCGGGGGGCGCTTATTCAATTATTTTACCTCTAGGATGGGCGCTTATTTGAGGGGGGCGCTTATTTGAGGGGGGCCCTTGCTCGAGGCATTACGGTATGTCTTTTATGGTAAAGACATAGCAACCAAGGTAAAGCTAAGGACACATTTAAGAGAATACTAGGCAAAGTTACTTACAAAATCATACTACATTTATTGCCGCTTCTGCCTAAAATTTTGCTTTAGCTCTGCAGAAAAGCGGGGGCCTCCCCGTTCCGCCCCCCGTTTCGCCAGCCCTGGTAGAGCTTGGGTGAGAGCAGGTATAATTCAATAATTTCACATACAGTTAGTTTGATAGGTGAAGCCATAAAAATTTTCAAAAGGCAACAACCAAATTTTCAAAAATTTTACAAATGTGCAGCCATAAAAATTATTCAAAATATATCCTGCCCTGAGGAGTACCTTATTTTAACGGAAATTTGAAAGTGGACGGTTGTCTAAATTGGGCAGCAATGGAATCCCAGTTAGGCAGGATTATGAAAACAGGTCCCATTTCCCCCCTTTTTACTCATTCGGAGACTGGGGAAAGTCCTCCCTTTCCATGTGACAAAGGGCGCAAATCGAAAGGGAATGTATGTGACGTCATTGCTTTATTTGAGTCAATAGGTAGAAACCCGTTGCACATAAAGGAGAGCGCGCAGACTTTTCGTTCAAATTGAATCCGTATGTACGGAAAAAGTTAATTAAAGTGAATTCGTGAGCAAAATAACTACCATTTTGTATCAGATGCAGGTTACCAGGAACTCACAATAGGAAGATATCGTGGACGCAGGATAGCTACTTTGGGAAGCATCACATTGATTCCGGCCTAATTGGGTCTTATGGCAGTTTATGTTAAAAGGCTTGATAATACTAAGAAACTCGCTTATAAAATATTGTTAGAAGAAAATTTCGTCGCAGTTATCATCCCAAAGCATACGGCAGATTTTCAGGTCTCGTGTAAGAAATGTCGGAAAGCGTTTCTTCAGCTGTTCCCAAAAAAGCAGCCCAAAGGCAGGAGAATAAAGTTGGGAAGGAAGCACAACTGCGAGGTGTTATTCGCGTGCTGATCGACCGTGAAAGAAAGCATCACCAACCCATTTTAGCTGCAAAAAGGTTAGCGAAACACTGCCAGCTCTTGAAAGACGAAGTTGAGAGGCTAAAAGAACGGTCCTATAACTACGAAACAGGATTAGCGAGGGCAGAAAGAATGGCTGCCCAGTATCAACAAGATCTTTATAGATTGACATCAAGCAAGGGAGGAAAAGGCCTTACTGACAAAAGCGCCTCGAACGTAGTTAAAGGCTCGCCATTTTACTTACCTTCGTCTATCCAACAGTTGGTGGATACATTATCGTCCAAAAACGTTACTTTGATGAAAATATTACAAAAGAAGTCGGGAGGTGATCTGAAAGCCGTTGAGCTTGTGCAGGTACGAACAAAAAGCTAAGCCTCGTCAAACTTGCTTCACTTGCTAGGTATTTTATATTGTGCTTATTTTGTTTAAGGCTGCCAAACTACTCATGTTTCAAACCTAAACCAAAAAATTTCCTCTGCTCAAATGTGGAAAGGGAAATCCCCGTAGCCAGCAAATTCCCCTTCCTTTAAGACGTCATTGCCTCTTTTTCACTTAGCCTTGATTTCATGAGTCACTGGTTTTTTTCCGATGTGTCACAAAAGACAAAACATAATGGGAGTTTCGAGAAAGTCGACAAGCTTCAGTTTTGAAAGGAAAAGGATTGAGAAGCAATCGACTTTTGAAAAACTTTGGACACCAACACTAGAAATTTATCAAATTTCTCACTAATACCAACTTCAATACCAAATAAAATACTCAAAAAATATCTCTTTATCTTGAAATAGTTGCACTTGGGATTTCAAGAAAAATTAATGACATTAAAGTAAAAAAATACTTAAGAAACAAGAGCACTGAAAATTTCCAAGCCTTAAGAAACTTGTGTATCATTTTTAACCTTTGTCTCTCTTATAAAATGTTAGGTTATGTTATCTAAAAAGAATATACTGTAAATGTCCTCAGGGGCTTGTTTTTTCATCGGGAAGGCTTATTAGAGAGAAGGGAGGGGGCTTATCAAAAATTTGAAGTAAAACATGTTTTAAAAATGCAACATGAGTCACACAAATTTTGTCAGAAAACTTTGCTAGCAGCTTCATAAGACTAATTAATCACTATAAGGTCCTCATCTTTATCAGAATCACCAGGATCAATTGACAATCCTGGGACATCTTCTAAACAAATTCAACTGACTTTTTAGGCATACAAGTAAGTCTTTACATGGGCTGTATTTAATGCACACAGTCTTATTTGCATCGGACCTGTCAAGAGACCCACTAAATGCACATGTTTACCCCATTTGAGAGAGACGGGGATTAATAGAGCTTTTACAGTGTGCCAAAAGCACATAAGTTGAGTTTTTTCCTTGCTGCTGGTTTTAGACATGAAAGGCTTGGTGTTAATATTCATGGTTAGAATTGCAGTATAATCGGGTTATATGCATACTTTTAGAGGCCAATAGATTAAGTGTGTTATATCTGAAGTACATTTTAATCAGGGAAAGTATGTCCTCAGGTTTGCAATGAATGTACCTCTCCTCCTGTTGTGCTATTTTGATCAATCTGTGAATATCTATACCACATTCTGTAGTATGGACTGATATAAGCTAGTTAGTAGTTTGGTTTTATGAGCATTGCAAGTATTACTGCGATATATGCTTTCTGATCAGTGCTAACTAGTTTTGACCTTTATCTGGCCATCATCAGAGCAACTGAATAAGTTTGGAAAGGTTATTGCCTTAATCAATTAATATTTCAATTAAAATTCTATGCAGAATGTTGCTGTTGTTTTTGTTTAATTTGTGATTGTTTGTCGTATCATTGATGTTTGCATCGAGTAGCTTTAATGGTTTCTTTTGCTGTAATAGCTTTTGTTGTTGTTGTTCTTGTCTTTTGTGTCGTCTGATGTCAAGTTGATCGAATGAGCTTTGTCACGAGTGTCTTTCTGAACAGTCCTTCTTTTCAATTGGTTTCTGAATATTTCTTTTTCACCACCCCAGGTGTACTTTTACCCTGCTCATTCCTTTCTTGCTTTTTCTTTCCTAACTGGCCTTTTGCCTTGTCCAAAATTTTTTTTCAAATTGACATTTGGCTTGATGTTTTATATTTATCATTTGTTGGTTCTTGTTGTTTCTTCTTTCCTTTATTGTTTTGTTAGCTTTTGATGTTCTGAGTTGCTTTCGTCGATCAGGTTGCTTATTGGTGCTTGTTGTTGTTGTTTTGCATAATGTTTGGTTTCATTTGCGCATCCTCTTCTTCAGAGTAGCCCTTTTGATGTCTGTGTTTTTTTATGTAGTAGTGTTTATATATAATATACATTTTAACTCTCAAGCTGTTAATAATTACAAACCTTTTTCCAATATCTGTGAAATATAACAAAAATATTAGCTTTTGAGTATTTTCACTGATGTTCATGGTTATTCCTGTGAAATTGTGGTTATCCCCATTATTTTGGCTAAAATTTGTTACTATCCCTTTACATTCTTTGGTTTGCACCCCAATAAAGCATTTTACAAGATTTGGCCCAATTCTATTGGTCAAAAGATTTGGATCAAAAGCCTGTATGAAAATTTATTACTTGTAAGATCAAGTAAAGACCTATGCACCAAGATACAAAATCAAGTCACCCTATTTGATAAGGAATAAAATGAGATATGAGTATCTACCTGTTGTCATGAGGTATGAGTATCTACCTGAGAATTCCTTTTGTGTCATTAAATCAGCTTTGTGATTTGGGTAAGTTTATAAGTCTATTAAAGGTGTTGACTAATCATGTAATGTGTCAAGTTTTCTCAGAACTATGGTTTATTTCTTCTTTTCTAGGAAAATGATAATTTGGAAAAAATGGTCAAAGCATTGAGACAGGAGCTTGATTTGAAAAGTTCACTTCTGGAGCACTACGAATCAATGCTAAGTGATTCAAAACCCAAAGACGATGTTGATCATCTTGCAAGGAGTATTCTAGAACAACGGCAAGAGTGTGCCAGTTTAAAAAGCAAATTAAGGTCATATGAGAACTATGTGAAGCACCTCAGGGAAAAAAACAGTTCACTTATGGAAACTATCATGACAGATCTTGACAAGACAAATCGGCAGCCTGTAGAGTCTGGAGAAAATGATGATGTTGGGGCAGTTGCCATTGGAGGCAAAGAAGGAAATAAGAGTGCCAGTGCCAGTGCCAGTGCTAGTCGAGAAACTAGTAGATGTAGCAGCTTGAATGCAAGTAGGAATGCAAGTAGAAGGGGATCACTAAAAGATACTGATGTACAAACTGTTTGTGAATTACAGTCAACTGGAATTCAGACAGATTCAGGAGTTTCTTGCAGTTCAAGTGCCAGGGGCAGCCTCGATGATGCAGAAATAGATTTGATGCAAGATGATCAAGAAGCACTAAAAAAGCTACTGCACCAAAAAGAGTTCAATGAGAAAGCATTGTTGGTATGTTATAAATCTACTACAAATTGTCTACTAACAAGGGTTTTAACTTTTGTTTTAACTTATCAACTAGCATTCAATGGATTGGGGAAGGTGGCAGGGAGTCTCTTATCCATATGTCTGAAACTCAAGGCCTGCCGGCCACATCTGGCGTGGCCTGTGATTATATCTGGCCTGAGAGATCATTTTATATTATTGTGTTTATATATATAATGTGGTCAAGAAATGTTTTTCCTGTTCAGCATGCAACCTAAAGTGTATTTTGGATTTAAGCCCTCTGTGTAATTGAGTTTGGCATTATTAGTTTAACATTTTTTTCTAAAGCTTAAACGCTAGGCATGTAGATACATTTAAATAGAAATGCTGCAAATATCACAGCTTTTTACATTGTCCTGTTAAAGCAATGGAATACAACTATCCTTTGCATTTTCAAAATGACCCTAGTGCTGCCACTGTATATTTGTATGTTAATTTTGTGTCAGTTTTCATTTTGCTTCATTTTGCAAATGAACACATTTTAGAGTGTAGTTTGGTAAACCAGGAACCAAAACAGTGAATGTGCTAATCTTTTGGCTTTATCTAGGCCAAATTATCTTTTATTTATAAGCAAAGTGTTTGGACTTTCAGATAAATTTCAATGCTGAGGGCATGATGAGGAGTAAGGTGATGAGAAGAGGAAACGTTTTTTAATAGGATTCTTTAATTGCTTTTTGACAGAAAAGAGTATCAGAGATGGAAGAGGCATGCAATGCAATTTCATTAGAGAATGAAAACATCAATGCAACAGTTGTTAGGGTGAGACAAGAACTGCTTGAAGAAAAGAAAAGAATCAAAGAGCTTGAGGAAAGCAAAGAAGAATCTGAAGCAATTCTAAAATTAATGCAAGATAGAGTTGACAGTGTGAATCAAGATCATGCAGAAGTTGATATACTGCAAAAGAAGCTGCAGCAGTTTGAAGTGATGGAATCTGAAACATCATTAATGCAACAAGTGGTGAGTAAGAAATAGCTCTGCGATTTCTGGTGTTGTCCATACTATGAAATAAAAATGATTCCATTTTTTATTGTCACACGCTTGGCCATTATGTATAGTTCAAGTAGGTTGCAAGTTATGATTTGCCACATCTGTCCAGGCAATTGGTATTTGTTAACTATTTTTCAAGTTTTTTTTACCTGCTTGGCCAATGATTATCTCATAACTTTACTACTATTTTAGATCCAAAATTATGAGGAAGATATAAAAAGCTACATGGTTGAAAGAAATCAACTTGTCAAAGAAAACAAGGAGACTAAAAATAAAGTTGAAGAGGTATTTGAAAAATGTACTTTAAAACTAGAAACAGGACGAAAATTATGAAAAATTTAGTTATCAATTTTTGTTTTACTTGTTTTATTACAATGCTATTTAATTTTTTTCCCTATCTGGATGAATGTAATTCATTCTTCAATTTTAATCTGGTGCCCCTTACTCAAGTGACTGATATATGAGAAGATCTAATCCTGATATAGGCTTTTAAAACATAGTTTAAGCACATAAAGAAGACTTGGCTAAAAGAGTTTTGATACAAGTTTTGGGCATGCAATAAACTTCAGACTAAGACTACTATGTTAAATAAACACTATTTCAATGTCACTTAGAGACTAGATGAAATGTTTGAATGTTAGCCACATATACAATGTTTTTTGTATCCTCAGCAAAAAGTGGGAAAATGAATAAGTGTATGAGTTATCTTTTTTATTTGTTTATCTAGTTGGAACAGCAACTTCGTGCTCTTACATTCAGGCAAAAAGAGGTATGTTGTGGTCCTTGTTTTATTAAGTTTTGCTCACTTAAGTTTTGCTAAGACAGTTACACACAATATATCATACTTTGATCTATGAATAAAAGCACTAACTATTGGCTCAAGGGAAATGGTACGGCATTCAAAAATGCAGAATGCTGTCATTTGTGTTTCTGAGTATTGAATTTTATATCCATTTTTCTAAACCTGTATGAAAATTTATTACTTGTAAGATCAAGTAAAGATTCAGCAGCCTTTAATCGGTATACAGTTAAATCGGTTTAACGTTTCCAATACCACGTTTTAAATGGAGTAAAAGTAACTGAATGAAAATGTTCGTGTTTACACGTCTAATCTAAGAATAAATAAAGTAAGACATTGGGCCTAAATTAAGGGAATCAAATGGTGACCTCGACCTCTGACGCAGCTATAAAAGATTCAGACGAACAGAAGCAGCCCTATGATGAATTATTCAGACGAACTAAGTGTGTCATATCCTGCAGTACTCAATTTATCTTTGCTTCTTTGTTGATGAGCAAATAAATTTTTCTTTCGTTTGGAAATAATGTTTTTTGCCTCTTGAAACCATCAAGATGGAGTTTTGGAGAACACTTTCAATACTGAGATAACGCAATTTCTATTCCGAATCTTTTAGCCTGATCCACTTTTAAGATGACAATATCCACTTTTAAAATTGTTGTTTGCATGCAACGCCTATAAAGGTTTCTATGGGACAATTCAAAAGTTTGTATACCAAGCCTGATCCAGCTATTTTTTCTCAGCTTTAATAGGGTACAAGGCAGACAGTGGTGTAGATGGGTAGTTTACTGTTTGCCTTGAAGATTTTAGGGGGTAGCGGCAGGCAGTCGCCATCCTTAATCGGCCAGGATAGCCATATAATATAACCTTTACTTGTGTAATCGTGTAAAGTCTGGCTGCTAGTTGTTTGCATTCACAAAGTACGGACTACTCCTATTTTGGTCACATATGTCATGTCAAAGCAATAGCGGGGTCTATGAACTAATTATTTTTTCATAATGCGTATTCTAGCAAGAGCAGCAGCAACGTTTGCAGCAGCAGCAGCAGCTACAAAGACAGCTACAGCAACAACAGCTACAAAAACAGCAGCAACAGCAACGACCGTTGACCCAGTCTCGTCGAGGGATGGATCAGCAACATCAGGTATTTTGAAGTTGCTAAAATTTCTAAATGAAATTAAAAATGTTATTTTCTTGTGTATGCGTTTAAGCTCATTTGTTCCTTGGAGTTGTCTTTGAAATTAACTTTTTTGACCATTTTGAAGACATTCCAGATTTAAATATTTTGGGTATATATCTCTTCGTAATCTACTCTTTTCTGGAAGTTCTAGCTTAGACAAGAATCGAATAAAATGATTATATAGAAAACAATTCGACTCATCCTAAATTCGGAACAGATTCAGATTAATACCCAGTAGTTGTAACAGCTTATGTCTTGTGCTTTTGGCCCCTATGTATTGTATATTATTGTTCCTCTTTAATTGTGTTCATATTCGTTTTCTGTATTGTATTACCATTGAAGTATCTAAAATTAAGTCAAATTGTAAATGACAGTCATTGTGGAAACTTGATGACCTTGTGTCTTTTTTCCGCTGCGATTCGCAGTTGATTTTTTGTTATTTTTAGATTTGATTAAAAAACTAGCCTCCAAGAGACCTTTCTCAACAATAGATCCTGTGTTACACCTCCCCTGCACAGATAATTTGCCAGTTTTGCAAGGCAGACACCTCTAAATTGACCCTGAGCCCCAAAGGTGCCTGCTAGACAGGTTTCAGTGTAATTTTGTTTGTACGGTTGCCTAAAAGGGACCATAGATGAATATTGAGCATGTTTTTCAACTTACAGCAATGCTTGTGATTATTTGGCAGTACTGTGACTTGTGGCAAGGCATTACCACTTCCAGGTCCTTTTGCCACTCCTTCTTCCCAAGTACGAGAGCATTGTTTGATGGCAAAATAATTATTCTGTTTTAGGAGCCATGGCAAAGCACACCGTGGGCAGGCAACCAGTTTCAACCAAGGCAACAGGTAGTTGCTGATGGCAGTCCTACATTTTATCTGGATTCAGCTCCAGATCGCTTAACACATCAAGCACAAAAGGATCGTCGACTTCGAGAACAGAACCAAAGGCATACAGAAGGTGTTGACAGGATGCGCTCGCCAGGTGCACGTGATGTGGAGGAGGATCCCGACTACCAAAGCTATATGGATAGCGGAACAGTAAAATGTGAGAATTGCGGAGAAAAATTCCCCACGTCATTATTTCAAGACCATTTCAGGGATTGCTCAAGAGATACTTGAGATGTTTTTCGTTTAAAGTAAACTCAAAACAGCACTTCGATTTGAGTGATTTAATGGTCTTTGAAATTACGGTTTGTACGGTTGCGTTTACTGACAAACTATTGTAGTTTTCGATTGCAAGCAAGAATTTAACCACTCAATAGAAATTGACCTGTTGTCAAAGACTTTGATCTAGTCGGTATCCATAAAAGAAACCGTATATTGCAGTTTGGTTTTGGATTGTATGATAGTGTAATTATGTTGTTGACTTCAATGTTTTGATTCTACTGATATTAAACAATCAGTTGTGTTAGGAGATGGTTGCTAAATCTTTATTATTAAGTTTAAGAATTAAGCAGTAGATATGATAATGCCAAACCATCTACAAGAACAACAAGCAGCTGAATGTAGCAATTCCCTATATGTATTTAGCTTTAGAGGGCACATGTCGTGTTAGCAGTTGGCTAACAGAACAAAAATTTCTGGAGTGGAATTCCATTGTTTCTTGACTTTTCGTCTCTGATTCATGGATTCATCCTCTATTTCATGTTTTGTACTAAACAAAAAAGATGGCTGTATTGCATAAGCCAATCAGGTTGACGATACATGCTCTTTGATAGCCGCTTATTATGACCATCCCTTATATTCCAGTTTGCATTTTGTTAAACTCTTTTGATCACATGTACAACATTCGTCCTATTCAAGATCAGAGACGTTTATTGATTATGATTTTTAATCCAAAATTTGATCAATCGGAAAAAGGCACCCCACCATTCTAAATCGTAGGCAGCAAGTAAAGGTGGCAGAAAGCTTTCTTGATATCGCTTAAATTTATTTTTCCCTCCGACTTGCTAGCTCGTCCCCATACGTGAAGAAGCAACTTGATCTAGTTTTTCAACAGGACCCCTAATTGCCACCTTCAATTTGTTACTTGGAAAAAGTTTTTTGTATTTTATATCGTATTAGAATTATATTTTTTTGCAGGTTTAGTTGAAGCCATAAAGCAGTTAATGGAATTAACGTACTGGTTTATTGACGAACACCCTTAGGAATTATGAAAGAACACCGTTTAGCTCACTTAGCATCAACGTGTGACTACATCGTGTTCTCGAGTATCCACATACAAATCCTTCTATTTTAGGGTGTTCTAATTAATCGCAGCATTATTGCTCACCCAAGAGCCATTTGTTTGGCCATAATCTGTAACAGTAGAAGTATTCTGCTTTTTCAAGTTAGAGAAAGTGTAACCCTGAGGATGAATTTATCAAGTAATTTGCTACGATTCATGAACATTTTTGTTGTTGCAGAACTGTTAAAGCATTTTTCCTTTTCCTATCATAACCTTTTAAAAAGGCTTGCAAATGCATTTTCTCTCCGTGTTTAAAAACCGTTAACTTAAATATTCACATTATCAAACATTGCAGCATTTTCCTTTCATCTAATGTCTCTTTGTATCTTAAAAGGATTAAGCTGCCAAGATGGCAGAGGCAAAAAAGGTGGGGAGGCTGGTTGCCCTTATTTCTGAGGAAATGCTTCCGAAAATTCTTGATAAAGCAATAAAATTTAAAATTATTCTAGGGACTTTTGTTTTGCTATAAAGTTGTAATGCTGATGTTTGCTATACAACTGATCTTCCAGGGAGTTTTCTTTGACAGTTAAGTTCAGCCCAATTGTCATGTTTTTGGGGGTTTTATGTAGTTTGTTAATTCTCACCCATTCTGCTAACTTTCTTGATCCTGAATGTTTTCTCTCAAGAGACGTCAAGTTGTGGCGTAACAAACAAATTTAGAATTTTGCATTTAGATCACACAGCCTGAATGAACATTATGGAATACCTCTAAAAGTCAGTTAAATGTGTTCGAAATTTTGTGTTAGAATTTACTTTGCCTATCCTTTATATCCTTCAATCCTGTCTCTGTTGAACTCCCCTGTCAGGCCTTAATGGGAGTGCCCCTGGGGTACATGTATCCAAGCGTGTCCGTTTATTCGATCACGGGCCTTTGTTCCTAAGAACAAGGAGAGACCTGTACAATTCTTACTCAACATCAGTCAAAACTGATATGAACAAGGGGGTCAGAAAAACGTCTAAATGGTAAACGGACATAAACGCGTAGAAAATAGTTTTGTTTTGTTGTACTAGCTGTTCACTCCGTGCACAGTGACGCGTTTGTTTAATTTTTTCTAGGTACTTTATGAATTATTCCAGTTTTGAATTTCTTTTAAACTCAAGGAAATAGATATAATCGATGAAGGCATGTCAGAGAAGGTTTTCTTACAATAAATTCGCTTTGTTTTTAAACGTGTGCCAAGCAAGTGTACAGACTGTTTACCAGGTAACCAGGAGGTCAACGATAGGAAAACCCCACAGCGATTTGTCCCTTGTGTAGAATAGTTAGCGTCTCAGACGTGTTTTCCCCGTGTTTTGGCAGTCTGTGCCTGCACACCCAGTTCCCTAAGGAGCTATCATTTAAATAAAACCATGTTAAGCACACAGGAAGGTTGTTTTTATGAGAGCGAAGTGAAGTGAGACGTTACAAAGGAATGCGTTCAAGATGAACTGAAAATAGGCCGAGCAGCGATGCCCAAAGCCGAAGTAAAAGTCGACATGCTTGGTGAGTGTTTGAATCCCAGAACTTAATTTTCCTGATTAGAGATGTGCGCCTAATGTGTGCGCTTGTTCGAGAAAATACAGTACTTCCATTTGTTCTGGAATGGTTAGAACTGCTTTGAAATATGGAACATATTCTTCTTTCCCCGAGAAGAAAGTTTTATCTAAAGTTATATCATCTTTATGGCTTATGTTACTTTCTGGAGGAAAATGCTTGGCACAAATAGTTTGCAAGATGTTTATTTTAGCAATTCAATTTTCACTAAAAATGAAAGCTAAGGGGACGTGCGATTATTTAGCGTTAAATACAACTATTTTGTATTATTGTTACAACTAGTTTTAACTAAGACCAAACACTGCAATAACATCTAGCAGAGATTTAGTGTCGCAAATGTTTGGAAAAGAAGTGGTTGATAATGTTGATCTATCATGGATGAAGTTGTTGCTGGTGTTTTTCTACCCTGGGTTCCAGAGCCACATTGAAGCTAGGTGCAGAGAATTGGAGAATTAGCTTCTTCTCTTCTATCTTCTGTTTCTGCGCTCACAATTGCGTGGCTCTGGTACCCAGTATATTTGCCAATTATGAAGCACGGTTTCTGAGGTGGAGAGCGTTGATGTTCAAGACACAAAAACTGGGCCCACTCAGCCCGGGCTGACTCAACCCGGGCCCACTCAGCCCTAGCCTGTGCTCCAGACCCTTAACCTGAAGGATAGGGTCTGGAGCACAGGCTAGATCCAAACTTGAGTTTCGTTTCTATCGAGCCTGGAGTGACGATGAAGAATCTGCCCTGAAAAGTAGCAATTCATGGACATTTCATGTGTTAGTATTTTGTTATGGCGTCGGCCAACTTTACTTGGGCAAAGTATATTAAACATTTTTCAATACTTTCATTAAAGTAAATTCTAGCATTACTTTGCCGACCCATTCCTTGAACAAGCTGAAGTAAGCCTCGATTCCAATTTCGATTGCTGTCATCAATGAATGATATAGAAGCGCCGAAGGCGCTAGATGTCTAGCTCACAGGTCCGCTGTGTGGCAAATTTGTTTACTTCCGCCATTTTGAATAGTGGCAAAAAGGAACTTGCTCCATACCAAGCCCTTATAAATTTGGTAAAAGTAAGGATTGATTTCGTTCACTTCTCTTTCGAATATCGATGTGAATTTTTATGAGTGGCCCTGTATTACACTTAAACTTATGAATTGATGTTAATATTGGAAAAATAAGCCGTCGTTCGCAAATTCCAATCATTTACAGTCGCGGTGCTTGCTGTGGTATTTTCTGTCTCGTCGAAACTCCAGAAAATAATGATTGATCTGTTTTAAAACGGATCCAGCAACAATGTTTAGACACACAATGCATAAATTTCTTAGCACATTTGTACAAAGATGTGATTTAGTTACTTTTTCTTTGTTTGTTTACAGAAACTGCTATGAAATATTTAGGCAAGCCATTCTTAAACTCCGACCCGCAGCAAAATTTCATCCGGCCCGCCGAATGCTTTTTACCTCGAAAATATTTTTTGCCAATATTTTCAAAATTTGAATTCTATTTATCTTTGGTTTTCTTTTTTCCGCTCTGATATTTTTCTTTTTCTCTGTAGTAAATTTTAAATGCGTTCCGTGGACAGTTATTGGTCCGAAAAGGAGTACCGAAATAGGAAATACTTTATTCAATCGATTAATCGTTTTATAGCGTTTAATTAACTGTTTTTTAATTTATTTCTTTTCTCCATCTTACTCGCTGTTATGCTAAGATTATTCTAAAACCTTGCAAGATTTTCCCTTTTTCATGTCAACAGATAAAACTATGAGACCTAGTCATAAAAACCTTAAGTATATTGCCCTGAATTTTTTCCCGTTAAAATCTATTTGAGGTGTTGTATTTGGCCATTTCTAGATCAATTTCTGAGAAATAGGTTTCTGAAACTAGTTCAAAAGTTCTCAGATGGTGCTTCTGACAAAAACAACAGCATTTTAGGTTGTTTCGAGAGAAAAAAATTTTCATGAATTTTCTTGATTTTTTTAGTTCTTTTGCATATCCGGGATCAGAGATTTTTGTGAAATAGGACTAATATTAATTTTTGAGAATCAGGTTTCTGAAACTAGTTCAAAAGTTCTCAAATGGTGCTTCTGACAAAAACAACAGCATTTTAGGTTGTTTCGAGAGAAAAAAATTTTCATGAATTTTCTTGATTTTTTTAGTTTTTTGCATATCCGGGATCAGAGATTTTTGTGAAATAGGACTAAATTCATTTTTGAGAAATAGGTTTCTGAAACTCGTCCAAAAGTTCTCAGATGGTGCTTCTAACAAAAACTACGGCTTTTTAGGTTATTTCGAGTGAAAAAAATTTTTGATGAATTTTGTTGATTTTTTTTGTTCTTTTGCATATCCGGGATCAGAGATTTTTGTGAAATAGGACTAAGTTTATTTTTGAGAATCAGGTTTCTGAAACTCGTCTAAAAGTTCTCAGATGGCGTTTCTGACAAAAACTACGGCTTTTTAGGTTGTTTCGAACGGAAAAAATTTCTGAAGGATTTTCTTGATTTTTTTAGTTCTTTTGCATAGCCGGAGTCCGAGATTTTTGTGAAATAGGACTAAGTTCATTTTTGAGAAATATTTCTGAAACTCGTCTAAAAGTTCTCAGAAAGCGTTTCTGACAAAAACTACGCATTTTAGGTTGTTTCGAGCGAAAAAAATTTTTGATGAATTTTCTTGATTTTTTTAATTTTTTTGCATATCCGGGGTCGGAGATTTTTTTGAAATAGGACTAAGCTCATTTTTGAGAATCAGGTTTCTGAAACTCGTCTAAAAGTTCTCAGATGGCGTTTCTGACAAAAACTACGGCATTTTAGGTTGTTTCGAACGAAAAAAATTTTTGATGAATTTTCTTGATTTTTTTAGTTTTTTTGCATAGCCGGAGTCCGATTTTTTTGAAATAGGACTAAGCTCATTTTTGAGAATCAGATTTCTGAAAATCGTCTAAAAGTTCTCAGATGGCGTTTCTGACAGAAACTACGGCATTTTAGGTTGTTTCGAACGAAAAAAATTTTTGATGAATTTTCTTGATTTTTTTAATTTTTTTGCATATCCTGGGTCAGAGATTTTTTTGAAATAGGACTAAGCTCATTTTTGAGAATCAGATTTCTGAAACTCGTCTAAAAGTTCTCAGATGGCGTTTCTGACAAAAACTACGGCATTTTAGGTTGTTTCGAACGAAAAAAATTTTTGATGAATTTTCTTGATTTTTTTAATTTTTTTGCATATCCTGGGTCAGAGATTTTTTTGAAATAGGACTAAGCTCATTTTTGAGAATCAGATTTCTGAAACTCGTCTAAAAGTTCTCAGATGGCGTTTCTGACAAAAACTACGGCATTTTAGGTTGTTTCGAACGAAAAAAATTTTTGATGAATTTTCTTGATTTTTTTAGTTTTTTTGCATAGCCAGAGTCCGAGATTTTTGTGAAACAGGACTGAGTTCATTTTTGAGAATTATTTCTGAATTTCGTCTAAAAGTTCTCAGATAGCGTTTCTGACAGAAACTACGGCATTTTAGAGTTGTTTCGAACGAAAAAAATTTTTGATGAATTTTCTTGATTTTTTTAATTTTTTTGCATATCCGGGGTCAGAGATTTTTTGAAATAGGACTAAGCTCATTTTTGAGAATCAGATTTCTGAAACTCGTTTAAAAGTTCTCAGATGGCGTTTCTGACAAAAACTACGGCATTTTTGGTTGTTTCGAACGAAAAAAATTTTTGATGAATTTTCTTGATTTTTTTAATTTTTTTGCATATCCTGGGTCAGAGATTTTTTTGAAATAGGACTAAGCTC